CACCTCAATACATGCCTGGTGGTATTAGTTGGCGGTCTGCCCAGCGTGTTCCCTATCGAACCACAACTTCTTTTCCCAATTTTGTTTTTTATCAGCGGAAAGATGTCCTGTCGTTTTCTATTGATGATTTTTAGTTTGTGTAATTTTTTAAACAGGCTGATTTAGTTTAAGCTCAATTATTGTGTTTGCTTTCAGTGTGAGCGGGAAGTGATGACAGCTGATATTAACACTCGGCAGTTTGTAATGAAGTACAATCATGCGAGACAACCCACATTAACATAAAGCACGCTTGGAAATAAAATAAAAAGCACTTGTTAAACATAGCAATTTGTATTTTTCTTGCAAAGCCAAGAAGTCGTTTATAAGAGAAAATATGGGGGCCCTGTACTGATGCCCTGTTATCCCCCACTTTATTCCGTCACTGTCTTCCATCTTTAAACGTCTTCAACATGCGGTTATCTGAAGTGATCACCCAAACACCGACCACGCCCTGATATTGGGGACTAAGGAGATTTTACTAGAAAAAAATCTGTATCTAACATAGTCACATCGGCCTACCTGTTAAACGAAACATCCGTTCAACCAAAACCCCATTCAGCGAAGAATATTTTCAACGAAAAACCCGTTCAACGAAACGATTAATCATTGCATTTAATTAAAATACATTTCTGATTTAGGTCAAAGTTCATTAACAGCCAATGTAAAAATATTTGGGAATAGCACATTTCAAACGTTAAACGACGTAAACCTATTAATAACACGCTATAAATAGCCCGATTGTGAAAGAAAAATGTTGACTTTATAAACAGAGATATCAAGGAGAAATCGACAATTCTATTTTGGGTCTATAATTGATTGAACAGCTTGCCAACGAATTATTCGCTTTTAATGGACAGAGCTAATTGCATTAACATTTTAAACTATTGACTTCAAAAAATCTCCTTTGATTCACCATGCATAGACCCTATAGTAAAAAAATATATCGTTATAAGGCCTCCTGATCAATATTTTAAAATTAGCTTTACAAACTCCCTTCCCGCCCCCTAACACCACCCACGAAGTTACGTCAATCCATCTATAAAACAAAACGCACTCTACTGCTAACTTAGTATGGATAAAAATAGCTAGTGGAATCTTGGTCAATGAAAGCAAAATATTTTTTAAAATGTATTTACGTTTCTGAAATATAGATTAGTATTAATTTAATAAAAATTGAATTCCAACAAAAAAAGAAATAATAAATAAAAAAGTAAAAAAAAAAAAAAACTACTCTCGCTATAGCGCAGAGGCGTAGCGATGGGGGGGGGGGGGGGGCAGGGGTACATATGTCCCCGGGCGCCGACCTTAGGGGGGGGGGCGCCAAAATGGGTTGTAAAAAGAAATTAAAATCTCATTTTAGATGCAGTTTTGCATTGAAAATTAAGAGGTTGTTCCCGAGTGGGGCGCCAAATTGAAAGTTTGTCCCCGGGCACCGGGAAGGGTCGCTACGCCTCTGCTATAGCGTGCAGAAGACTATGCTATTGAGTATGTATTAATATAGTCTTGCAGCTTTTCGTGATGATCATGACGTGTGAGTAGTCGGGAGGGAGGGGGGTGGTCTTAAATGTGGTGATTGTAGATCTACCATTGGTGAAGCAGTGAACATCAATCTCTGAATGGGTCACCAATAAAATAATGTATTGTAAATGTATTCCATACAGGGTGGGTTTCTTTCATACATTTTTCTCGGGAAAGGACGGGGGCACTTGAAACTTACGAGGGGATAGGTAGGCACTAGTTTAAGTGTATATATTTTAAAATATTTTTTTCCCTGTTTTTCCCGGGTAAAAATGCAGGAATGAAGTAGGAAAGAAGCAATGATTCCAGAGGGAGTTTGGGCCTTGTTTCGTGACGTCGGGTATGCTTTCAATTTTTAAACAACCCACCGCGCGCAAAGAGCAAGCGCTTGCCAAGACCGACCAACCAAACAGAGGGGTGGTGCTACTGCATCTAATCATCATTAGTGATGAGTGAACTCAAAATCAATAGGTCTAATGAACTAGTCACGTAGACCTACGCAAATGACCATCTTTTTTTTCTCTACTCCCCCCCCCCAACTAGACCTACACATGTTACATGCGCAGTGTTTCTTTCCGACATTTTTCTCCGGATTAAGGGGGGGGGGGGGGGGGCGGAAGCTGGTAAAAGAATATATTTTCTGTATAAATTCCATTTCGTTTTGGGGTGGGGGGGGGGGGGAGTGGGGGGCGGTAGACTTTCTTCGGGGGTGAGGGGGGGGCGCTTGACACTGGTAAAAGTATAGATTAGAAACTCGTGTGTGTCGTGGAGGGGGGGGGGGGGTGAGGAGTGAGGGGAAAATTTTAGATTTTAAAAACAATAGGTCTTTTACTTTTATTTTAAAAAATCTCCATAGGTCATCTGTATCTGTGTCTATTTTCCACATAAACTCATTGCCATAGTACATTCATTTTTTTTTTTTAAATTTAAAATAGTTGTAAATGTATATACACCTACTATATAGGTCTATCCATTCACATAGACCTAGGGGCGTAGCGAGGGGGGGGGCGGGGTGCGGACCGCACCGGGTGACACCATTCAGGGGGGTGACACCCAGTGTTTCTTCCAGACTTTTTTCTCCGGGGGGGGGGCACTTGAAATCTTCGGGGGGGGGGGGGCGGTAAACTTTCTTCGGGGGGGCGGACACTGTTAAAAGTATATATTTTCTATATAAATTATATAAATTTCATTTCGTTCGGGGGGGGGGGCGGTAAAAATTTTTCGGGGGGGCTTCGCCCCCCCCCCCCCGAAGAGATGCCTGGAAGAAACTCTGCTGACACCATGGCAAAAAATAGCAAAATATATAGAGGTGACACACGACCTCGCTACGCCACTGCATAGACCATAATAATATATAAACATAGGGCTACCATTATGAATCGTAGATTAATTGTTCACTTACCTTAGATATTCTCACGTAATCAACGAAGAAGGAAGTAGATCTATAGGTTCCAACAAAAGTAAATAATAAACATCCTAACTACTCACTAAATCAACATAACACGATATCCACTCTGCATTCACCAGCGTAGACCCAGAGCTATACAATTACAATTTACACCGGGACTGAACTCAGTCCCATACGAGCCCACAGGCGAAAGCACCATACATAGAACAGAAAGTACTCTAAAAATATAAAGCGTTAATGTTTACCTTGCGAACACAGGGGGAAAAACTGGATTGTCGGGTTTAGCGTTTTACACCCCAAAATAGAGCTAGAGGCAGTGGTTTTAAATGCAAGGGATGTAACTCGAGAGCATAGGATTACTACTGCTATTTTCTAATATAATTGTGAAATTACAGCTATTACTATAATCTTTGTCCTCAGCGCGCTATAGAATACGTAATGTAGGCCTACGTTTTACTAGATCCCGCAGGCATATTTAGTGTTTTCACATTGTAAAAAAACGTATTTGTTAATCTACTTGTTTAAGCAAACAGCGCGTGTCGCTTTCAATCGAAGCACATTTTAAATTTTGTTTCAAATAAGTATTACATCTGATTTTTTAAATTTCAATAGTGAATCTAACGATATTGTTTGGTTGGTCATGGGGTTGGGGGTTAGAACAATTACCCACTCCATAACCCGTTATTCAGGGTTTCTTTTAGGCATTTTTATCGTGGGGGGGGGGGGGGGGACTGTTCTATATATTTTTTATAAGTCGTTCAAAAAAGTGGGGGGGGGGGGGGGGTGCTGCGCAAAGTCCAAATATTCCATGGTTACTTGCAGTGGAAAAGTCACTGTTCTATATTATAAGTAGGCTATCCGTTTCTCTTTTTTTTAGTAGACCTAAAGTTAAAAATAGAATGGCAAACACAACCCATCGGGGTAGTGGGCGGGGCGTCACGGTAAACCCATGTTTGTGTTTTTTCTTTTATGGTTTTTTTTTAACATTGACAATGGCGTGACTAGGATTGATGGTTTTTTATTTTGTGAGGCTCCCCTACCCCTTAGGCAGTTTATGTTTACACTAAGATCTCAACACTATTAAACCGAAAAAAAACCCTGTTTTTTTCTTAATGCATCAAGTCGGAAAGAGCCTGCAATTATGTCCAACGCTCTAGCCACAAATATTTTCTAATTGTATAAACACTAGTGGCCGAGTATTATTAGTTTATTTTATATAGACCTATACATACTCATATATGTCCTGCCTATATTTTTCTATATGTAGGCCTATATATATATATATATATATATATATATATACAACAGGAGTGTGAGCAAAATACTTATACCTTATTGTAAGACATTTGTCTTTTAGGGAGTCCATTGAGGGAAGCCCCCTCTCCTAGCCTACACCACTTGTGGCCACTATGTTAACCAGCTCTTTACCATTACGTGCGTTTGATAACCCTTTTATCTAGATAATATTGTTCATTAATCAAATAAAAGAACGGGCGTGTGTGTGAGAAGTGTGTGTGTGTGTGTGTGTGGGGGGGGGGGGTGTACTTTTGTCCAAGGGAGATAATCACTATATTGAAATACAACAATTAATTCAAAGATCTATTCAACTATTTCAACCTGTAACTGACAATGAAATAAAAGGTTAAAAGTTACATGGGAAATAAAAGATAACAAATACTTGTTAGATCAAATCAATAGTTTATTATGCTTTAAAAATTTGTATAGTACTTTAACTGGTAAAGCTGGTTTGCATATAATAATTAGATAAGATTTTAATAACTGTGATCATGTTGCAGTATATAATTTGATTTTTTGTTTACAAAAATTTGCTATAAACATTTGTTTACATTTGAAAGTTTACATAAAGAAAAAAAAAATAAGCTTATGTATAAAATTAGATAGTTAATTACACACATTTTCCAAACTAAACAAGATTTTACAATTATTAACAGTTGTACAGATTTCATCACAAAGAAAAACACCATAAAAAACTAATGAAAAAAAATTGTCTATTGTGCATTTACTAATTTTTATAAAAATTTGAAAATAACTAAAATATTTTAAAAAATAATAATCTTACTAAGGCACTTCTTTCTTTAAAGGATAAAACAACTCTACTTTACTTATGAAATTGCACCACAGTGTATATTTAAAACGGCACTCATAAAAGAACACTAAAAAAAAAAACAACTGATATACATTAGCACCAGGGTGACCAGCTGAGTATTTCTCAAAGTTGATTAGTCAGTCAGACAAATATAGCTTACACTGATGTGGATCTAACCCATGCATACACTCATCCTTCATTAAATTATGCACTACACCGAGGTCGTGACCTCAAAGATGGATGAAAAAAAAAAACCAAAAAAAAATACTGAATTGGTGACATCAAACTAATGAACTGTCTAGTCAAGTGCCTTGAGACTTTTTTTAAACTCCTAAAGCTTCCATATAGCTCTAGCTCACACTGTGGCTTGTGGTACAACCACAGTGTGGTGTGGTACAACCACATAATAGAACATGTTAGAATGTGGATCTTTCTACCACATGGAGGTGATCATCAAGCTGTTGTGTAAGTCATTTAAGCACACCCCCCCCCCCCTTTGTTTATTATCTTTTTATTTTAAAGAACTACAAATATAAACAAGCATTTCAAATATCTAAATCTAAGACGTCTGATCACAGTATAAACAAAGATTGTTAATATAAGATGATCTCTTTCTACTTTTTTTTTTTTAACCTCACCTGTATATTTTAAACTTACCCCCCTCCCTCGTTTAAATGAAACCAGATTTCTACTCTTATAAAAAATTATCTCTAGACTAATACACTTAATGCAACCCAAAAAAAAAGTAGTCTTTATATCATCAAAGCTGAATAAGAAGAAGATGAAACTTCTGCTAAAAGATGTACATCAGTATTTACACAATGACTCCACCGTTTAAAATGGAAGCTTTGAAGACAGCAATTATGGTCAACATGAATAAGGCACTAGTACATAAAAACAAAGAATTAGTTAATGAATTAATTATTATTAATTAGTGAGCTTAGGGCTGGCCTAATTAGGAGACAAGCAGGGAGTTAGATTGACACCAGAAGCAGCTCTCTCGCCAAAGTTAAATGTCTCTGAATCTGTCCAGAACTTGAAATTTGATAAACAGCCTACAAAGTTCTCAGAAAACCTGGAGCTTGTGAATGTCTTCACATCAGGGGCTCCACCTGCAGAGGTTAAAGGTCATTGCATGTACTGACATCTTTGATCAAAGATTGTATACATTATTCAAATGAGCGAAGACTAATATGTTTGGTCAGGTCAAGATAGCCATGTCTGTTTTGTTTTTAATTAACGATACTAGCATCACTTCTTTTCTCCTAGCATTTTTAGTTTTCTGTTTGCATTTATGGCAAGCTATTTTGGGTAGCACATTATTTCAAACTATTTGGAGTAGCAATCAATACAAAGTAATTTCCAGTAGGTGTAACAATATATATACAATATGTAACAATATATACTAAACCATTTCTGATAGCATGTGATACCTATCTATTTCTTGTAGCAATTTAGACTAAGCTAATCCTGAGAGCATTATTGTTCAAAGAAGTGTTCCTAAGGTCAATTGTAAACTTTTTATCTTTGAATTAACTAGTAACAGTAGATTTAGAATGGTTCTATCCCTTAGACTAGAGCTACATCATGCATCCTAATCCCATCAATGTTAAGTCCAGATTTAATAGCGATCTGTACATTTTCCCAATACCATCTACATTTAATCCAGACCAGTAATATATATAATGCTAAATAAGTGTACATTTGCCTAGTTGCCTAGTAAATTAGGCCTATAGGCTGTCCCATATTTTTTAAAAGAACTTCATATTAGCCTAATCCCATCAATATATAATAAGCTTTTATTATTAACCACAGAGAGGATTAACGTACCCCCCCCCCCCCCATCGAGAGTGTTATCAGTCAGACATTAATTTTTTAATTAAAAAAAAAATTAAAAGTAGAATGTCATCTCATGCAGGTAAAAAAAAAACTAACCTAAAAATACATTCTGACCAACATTCAATGCTATTAAATTGCCAGCAGTCTGACCCGGAATAGCTGGGTCCTCGTCAACTTTCAGCTGCATACTACGACCAGTCCTGCAAAAAGAGATTAGTAACAATTTTATTTTGATCAATAGAAAGTACACAAAAAATATTGAATTAAATCTCAAAAGTTTTACTTGCTTTTTCTAAATAATTTACTTGCAGTATTGTTTCACGAAATAATTATTTATTAAGAATTGTAAAATTTCATAAAAATGTTATTTCATTGATAAAACTTATCTATTTTTTTATTAAGGGTAGCCAAAAAATAAATAAAATAAAATACTCATTAAAAAATTATTATCTCATAGAGCAAAACATTTTTATGAAGTTATTTTCTAATCATAAAAATACCCAATGCCCAAATAGAGGTTTAGTTTTATTATACAAATCTAATAGATACTCTAAGATACCTGGTGTGACATGAGTAGTTCTAATTTTTTGAATTACATCAGTTGTTGGACAGGTGTCTTCACTTATCACTAGTTTTATTATATCAGTTGCTGGACATGTGTCTTTACGTATCACTAGTTTTATTATATCAGTGTCTTCACTTACCTGTTGACAGCAATTGTGTGTGAGTAGCCATCATCAACTTGAGTAAGTGATGTCACAGTGCCCACACCAGCTCCAAGATTGGCGCTAAAGAGAGAACAAAGGTGACCTAGATTAGAACAGCAACTAGCGCTGACAACAGCACAATGGTAAGACTAGATTAGCATTTAGTCTATAATGATCATGTAATGAAATGTGGTTAACATGATATTTTAAAGAATATTTTACATGCTGTTGTAAGCCTATACACCCACAAGGCTTAAATCAACATAACCATTATATTCAATATTGAGCATAAACTTTGATGACTACAAAACTGTTTTAACAAAATATGACTAATACAAGCCTATTTTTAAAAATGTAATAAAAAAGTTTTAACAAATAAGCTTTTAGAAATGCACGAAGAAGAAAATATTAATTTTCTTCTTTCAACAGCATATAATTTTTTTAAAAAGAATTCATATAATTCTCCTTCATTAGTTTTAATAGAACAAAATCCACAACTAAAAATGAGCACACTAAGTTGTGTAATAGTGAAATATGATAAGTACTTTATATATGAACTGCAACTGTTAATTAGTTTTTTGAAAGAAAAAAAAATTAATTAAAAACCTAATCACATCAAAGTTTATCTGACTTTTCTTATCAAGTTTGAAACAATTCAGTTTGGTGAGAGTGGATGAAATTTTGCTCACAGGTTTCAACTCATGATAAAGCACGACAGAGGAACCAAGTTAAACCGAAGTAAAACATTGACAACAGCACACTTATTTCAACCATAAAAGCTGATGATTACAAACCTGTATTGAACATAGCCATTAACAATGGCCAGTGCGACGTAGTCTGAAGTGGGCGATATTTTATTCTGTCCGGTCCAGAAGATCAGGCCATTTTTCCTAGTGGTGGAGATGGTCACTCTAAAGCTTCCAAGTGATGTTTGGGTGATTCTCTTGACCCTAAGATCTACTTCAGCATAACTGGTCCCATCAAACTGTACACTTGTTCCAATAAGAACAGCTGGCACAAAATTGTACAAATAATTCAACCAGTTAAATAATTTGACAGAACATCCACCTGATTCATAAGTATTTGAAATTGAAAGTGTAGTGCCAAAAAAATAGATTGTTTACATTATTTTATTATTCTATTCAGAGTTCTAGTTATAATGATTTTGAATTTTTAAAAAGCTGTTTACAAAAGAGCATAGACATGAGACAACCATTAAACTTGGAGTAATGTTGCAGTTAATTTTTTAGTGAAATATTTCAACAATAAAAAAGGTGTTGCTCTTTTCATTTCTAGAGGAAACCATCATCCAAATGGACTTACATTGTTCACAATTTCTACCCTCCCAGCCTATGGGGCAGTCACACCTGTATGATCCTCTACCATCTATCTTACAAGTGGAATTGTTTTGACAGGGATTGTTCAGAGCACAAACATTGGCCTCGATCTCGCAGTTTTTCCCTGTACAACAAAAATAAAACATTTAACCAGTTGGTATTTCAAATTTGATATATTTTAAAAAAAAAAATTAAGAAAAACACTCATGTTAATATAATTCTGAAATTACTTTACCTGTGTATTGTTTAGGACAGACGCAGTAATAATCTGTTGGTGAGTTGGATCGACAAACTCCCCTATTCAAACATGGCCTGTTGTCACACCAACTCCTTTCACCACAATCTACAACATTCAAGCTGTCAATGGCTTCATCAAACAGGTTATATTTTCTCCCTGCAACGTGAAGCTAGAGAAAAAGAAAAGTTGAACAACCTTTTAACCAATGGCTTTGTTGAACAGACTCATTAACTTTTAACATAAATCTATTTTTTTTAAAAAAGAATAAGTTTATGAAGTTAGCAAGCTATGGACTAAAATATGAATAAAAAGCCCATAAGATTATAAAGTTAGCAAGTAGTGGGCTAAAATGCAAACTGAAGTTGTTCCTAATGTCTACCCTACCTACATCAGAAGTCAATTTTAACAAGAGCTGCAGAATCTGATGTTAACATTTTCACCGTTAATCAATAGAAATTCTCAACTTCAATTGAAAATGTTTTTCCGTTTTTAAATAATTTATCATCACATTTTTTTTTCCCAGCTGTGTGAAAAAAATTGTTTTAAATCTAAAATACATCTACATTAATTACTTTTACATCCATTTAAAATTTGTAATAACCCATTGCTATGTATAATTTATTTTACCTCTTTAACACATCCCACAAACCCATAGTTGAGTCCAACACCTGGATTAACAGTCTCTGATGGGTCAACACCACCCAGGTACAAAGGTCTCTCCAGGTTAAGGCCTCTGGTATCTCCACTGCTAGTGCCTGGTGTTTTAAAATAAATCAGTCAGTATTTTTCACTCAAGTCAATTAGTTTAAAGCAAACATCCAACATACTGATATAATAATGCTTGATGAATACATTTGTTTTTAAAATATCTCTACAATATATTTGTGTCAGTGTAACTGTATATTATAGAGGTAAAATTTTGATAATATTTTAATGGTCTATTCTAAAAATCACAATCAGTTTAGAATTAAGTAGTTTAAATTTAAAAAAAAAACAATTTTTAATACATCGGTAAAAACATTGCAAATTAATCTGAATTAATGCAAGTAAATTTTATTAAAATTTCATATAATTTTTATTTAATCTTAAATGAATATTTTATACTTCTGAAACATTGGAATGCCCAATATTAATTTGATTTGCAAGTGTGCAGTATATGAATGAGGCAATCTCACCATGCTCTGAGCAGTAAAATATAGCAATATTTCCAAGCAAGCAAATCTGCAGCCACAATGAAGAATATTTTACAGAAAGCACTTTTTCAGTTGTAAGCAAAGCATTGGTGTAATAAATTAATTAGATAAAAGCATGCAACCTTAATTAATCAAGAAACAAAGAAAAAAAAAAGTTTTTGCAGAAGTCTAGGCCTATTTTACTAATTAAAGGCAAATAAAAGAAAAAAAGAATTAAACCCCTCATCTTATTTGTGCTCGACCTTTTTATTTCAGTAAACCTCAATGACCATTTAAAAAATAATTTTTCTTTGAGATTTCAGGATAAAACTTGATGTTTAAAAATTGTTTTACACTTTTTTAAGTCATGCTGTCAGACAGAGCCGATTTTTATTCTATCTCAACAATACCAGTTAGAACAATGTCCATCAAAGTCTCAGCATAAATCATTAGCAATACAGAGCACCAGACAAAGAGTGGAAAAAATGCAAAAGATAGAAAAAGATAAAAACCAAGACAATTTAGCAGGAAAAAAAATGGCTTCTGGTAGCAAAACAAGAAAATTATTTTTCAAAGAAATGTTTGGTGTGTTAAAACACAAATCTCATTTGTTTCTCTTATGAAATGATTATGAAATGATAGTTTTTCTTAAAAAATAAGGTAAACAAAATAACATTTTCCTCATTTTTAATTAATTCGTTTGAAGGCTCAAATGAGATTTGTTTGATAACAAATTTACAAGAAAAAAAAAACAAGACACCAGCATGTGACAAAACAAAAGATTAGTTAGCCAGAGTTGCTTCCACTGATTGGTGTAGTAATACCTCTTATGACATCTCCTCTCTCCAAGCGAGGGAACAAGAACCTATCATTAGCCTCTTGTTCTAACATAGGTGGAAAAACAAAAGTCAAAGGTGAAAGGTCAAAGGTTTTCTTTACTGATAAATGAACACACTTTGAGTTTATGTCATTCTTGTTTGAGTTTTATTTACTAGTATGTTTTCTTGTCGTTGTTACCTAGAGTATTTTGTTTTTAGATATTTTTTTCTATAAGCAGCATTAAAATTAAATATATATTTCAAAAAGGGCCTATGTATTTAATATTGCATTTTTTTTTGGGTTGAAGAAAAATAATGTAAATCTGGTAAAATCAACTGGTTGCATGGAAAATGCTCATTATGAAATTCTAACTAATCCCAATAATAATATTACTGTGTGAATTTCCATTTGTAAAATATATAATTTAAAAATGCCAGATGTAAAATGCAATGAGAAGACATAATATTTGTGCATAGTAAATAAATATTAAAAGCTTTAATACCTAAACAAATTGGCTTTAAAAAATACAACTGAATACAAGTACAAAGTGGAATTTGAAGATAATACGCAGTGTATATACAAGTAGGGCCTAGTAGTCTATATTTTAATAATATTTTGATAATGAGAGAGAAAGATAGGGAAATAAATTAGTAAGTCAATTATAACCTATTCGTTTTAGTCCTGGAAAAATAATGAGATTTTTTTTTAGACATGCACACTTTAATAGGAATAAATGAGATTATTGATATCAGTAATAAATATAATTTTTTTTTAAAGGGATAAAATAGTAAATTAAAAACAAAGTATAGTTGTAAGTGACAAAAGTTTTGATGATAATGAGCTACATGTGATTGTTTAAGATACACATAAAAGTATTTGTTTAAATCATTTTTAAAAATCCCATAACCACTAATGCAGCTTTTGGTGCGGCAGTGTACAACTAGTAATAATGTGATATTCTAACCCTCTCGTAATGGTTTATATAATTGTATTAACATGCTAGTTTAATGAATGGAATATAATATGGAATTACTTTTCAGTTAGCTGTAACACCTCAAATAAATAACTGGTATTGATAATAATTTTAGAGTTAGGGATGATATATTGTAGTACAATTATCAGCAATTCTAATAACATGATTATGAGCGTTTAGCCAACTGAAAAGTATATTTTTAAAAACTAACATAGTGGCATTTCCAGAATCTAGAGTAAATCTGAATTGAAATTAAAAGTAAAACCGAATTAGATTACTGATTTTAATTAGTTTTCTTTGAGAACTCAATTGATGCTTAAAAAAAATAATTTGCTTGTATAAATAATTCTGGAAAAGCCTGTTCATAATCATATAGTGTTCCATGAAACAACCGTGTGATCACAACATCAAAATATATTCCTGGATAAATGAATCAAATAATCATTAGAAATAATAATTGAATGCATAATACAAAAATCTTCCCAGATAAAAAAAAATGGTGAAAGTGACATCAACTAACCATTGACTGAGGGCTCATTGTCTACGGTCAGCATCCCCTGGCGACCAACACGATAGGCAACCACACTGGTCCATTCATTGAGTTTCACTGGGTTTGTGCTTCTAATTACTGCTGGGCCTGTTCAAGAAAAAAAAATTTCCTTTAAACTACATAATATTATTTATAACAGCAGCCAACTTAAAAAGTAAACCATTTTGTAAATGAAACAAAAGTAACTGAAATGAAGCAAAATTGACAAAATAAGTTTATCTAACTAAAATTCTCAATGGTTAAAAAAAAAGCAAAAGTATTTGTTTTACAAATTTCTACTTAAAAACTGTAAGCACAAAATTTAAATGTAATTAAAATGCATTCGTTATGAGCTGGAATTAAAATAGTTTAAACAGTGGGTTGATACTAATTTACCAAACATTACCTGAACCAGTATCGAATCTAAATTCTATATGTTGCTTGTTTATGGTGATGGCAATGAAGTCTTGCTTCCCATCCTGGTTTAGAGCATTGTATAGAACAATTCCGTCATCCAGAGAAGAAAGCTTGATGTCAAGAGTGATGTTGATATTGTGTATGCCATCGGCGATTTTAGGGTAGGAGATAAATGATGTCTTGTTGAAGGCTGGGTCCAAAAAGGTGAAACCTGGTTTTAAATAAAGGAACAAACACATGAGCTCACATTGTCAGTCCTTTCCCCTTCATCAAACAACATTGCAAAAGTCTAATAACTCCCCCCCACCCAATCAAGAGTGTGATACCATTTATAGATGCCCCTTAATCTTAATTTTTCAAACCAGAGTTGGCTGATGTGTCCACATGAACTAAACAAGAGTTAGCTCAAGTTTCCACATCAACTATGCAACAGTTTCAAAGAGTTTCCTTACTTCTCCTACAGCCTTCACCATAGTAGGGCAAGGGACAGATGCAGAGGTACCCTCTAAGCATGTTTGTACATCTGCCAATTCCACAGGAACCTAAATTATTGTAAACAAGAAATTAATATAATATAATTAAAACACATTAACAAAAAAATTTAGAATACTTTAACATAAAGTTTAATTACTTCATCCAACATGAAGTAAACAGTAAAAAGAAAAATAAAATAATTGGTGGAAAAGAAAGAATATAGGTCAAGATGTTATTTTTTGTTTTTACTACCAACTAAGCATCTCTTCAACAATCTTCTTAAACTAAAGAAAATAATTATAATGATGATATATAATCTATTTTTGAACTGGACTAACAAACTACCAGCGTGACATGTCTAAAACATTCTTTGTAACTAAAGAAAATAATGATAAACTATCTATCTTTGAACTGGACTAACACCTTATTGGCGTGACATGTATAAAAATAATGATACTGATATATGATCTATCTTTGAACTGGACTAACACCTTATTGGCGTGACATGTATAAAAATAATGATACTGATATATGATCTATCTTTGAACTGGACTAACAACATACCTGGCTGGCATCTCTCTTCTGTTCTCTCACACCTGTCTCCACCATAACCTGGAGGGCACTGACACATAAAACCTTGGCGAATATTGAATGGACGACAGGTTCCTCCATAGAAGCATTTATTTCCAGAGCATACATCATCCTGTTGTACACCTACAATTTCCCTAGCTTGTGCACCAAGATTAAGGTTAACACCTTGCACCTGTACCTGACTTACACCACCTGTTGGAGTAAAAAAACTATATATGTAATGTTGTAAGAGGATACATGTGATGGCATTAGTGGACAAATGTGGAGATGTAATGATGTAAGTGGTGACATGTAATGGTTTAGTGTAAACCTGTAATGGTATAAGAGGACACATGTAATGGAATATTAGTTAATTAGACATTTAATGGTATAAGTGGACACGTGTAATGAAATAGTTAGACATGTAATGGTATAAGAGGGCACATGTAATAGTGAAAGTATACACATAAAATTGCACAGGTGTACACATATTATGGCACAGTGTGTACACATTTAATAAGATACATTTTCATATGCTACAAATGTACATATTCATTGGCATAAGTGTTCATAATTTAATGAAATAAGCATAAGTATTTAATGGTATAAGTATACCATTTGTTAGCAGATATATTGGCTCTACACTTTTAATGTCAATACAAGCCAATTATAATCAATTATAAAATATTCAGACACACAACCACCATTCACACTGCTACTGAAGTCAGTCCTAATGTTGACTCACCAACTTATCCACACAATCACCATCCACACTACAACTGAAGTCAGTCCTAATGTTTGATCATCAACTTATCCACACTACAACCACCATTCACACTACAACTGAAGTCAGTCCTAATGTTTGATCATCAACTTATCCACACTACAACCACCATCCACACTACAACTGAAGTCAGTCCTAATGTTCCCTCACCAACTTATCCACACTACAACTGAAGTCAGTCCTAATGTTGACTCACCAATAAATCCAGACGTGAACCCAACAGAGGGTGGTAGTTGTCCGAGATCTGGGACATTACCAATGTACAATGGCTCAGCAAGGTCAAGGCCAACATGCTGTCCAGGTGCTTCTCCCATGTAGGCTGGCTCATCATTGACTACCAGAGTGCCTAAGTAACAAAAAAATATTTTATAAAAACATATATTTTTCAATAGCATTTTATATTGCACTGATTAAGGAAGAAAAAAAAAGTAAAGATTGAAAAGAAAAAAATGTGCCCAAGCAGTATAATTTTTAAAAAACTTTTTTTTCAAAGAGGAGAAAACTTTTTTTTCAAAGAAAAATTGTATTTGTCTACAATGGAGTAGGCCTGTATCTATAGGGTACCATTTTTCTTGTGTCTCTTGAGTTGAACAGTGTGCCATTGATTGAGTGTCAGGGGTTTTTCTCCTTTAATGGTAGCTGCTCCAGAGCCTGCATCAAACCTGAAATAGTTTTTTTTTCTTTTTCACAAGTGGGGCTATGTTATGTTAAATCCTTTCACTAACAGGATAAGTTCTCTAATATAAAGTTTAATAATATTTCTCAATTTTTTTTTTTTACTCTTTTAATTGGGGGGCCTAGTTTGAACACAGGAAAAAACACATCATAACACCTACAAACAGAGACACGGGCAAACATCATCACACCCACACAAGTTAACACCCGCAGATGAAATGTATAGTGCTTTACTTGAAAATTGGGTGCTGATCCTGAAGCCCAAAGCACACAAAGTCCCCAGATCCAGTAGAGTACTGGCCATTGTACAACAACAGACCATCAGTGGTTTCAGGTCGGAATGACATGATGATGTCCATATCAGTGTAGGCCTCTTGAAGTCCGTCAAACTTCAGGTAGGATATTGGCTGCTGTGGGAAGTATGGCACCAGGGCTGCAAGAAAACAAAGTTAAAGCTTTAAATTACAGCTATAGAAGAAATTACAAGTTTTAAAAGTCTGACTTTAAATGTACACATGTCTACATAATTAAAGAAGTTTGCTTTAACAGGAATTAGTTAACAAGAAATATGTTAACACATATGTTAGCCCATTTCTTGTTAATACATTTCTTGTTAACATAGTTCTTGTAAATATATTTCCCGTTAACACATTTCTTGTTAATATATTTCCCGTTAACACATTTCTTGTTAATATATTTCCCGTTAACACATTTCTTGTTAACTTATTTCCTGTTAACACATTTCTTGTAAACATATTTCCTGTTAACACATTTCTTGTTAACATATTTCCTGTTAACACACTTCTTGTTAACGTATTTCCTGTTAACAAGAAATGTGTTAGGAGGAAAGGCTTTAACAAGAAATGTTTCAATAAGATTTTAGGACATGTAAACAGGATATGTGTTAGCAAGAAATGTGGTAACAGGAAGTGCATAAACAAAAACTGTAAACAGGAAAAGTGTTAACAGAAATTATCTTCTTCTTCGTTCTTAATTTTAGTGTCTGAATGGATCGAGCCTTATCTGTCAGAGGGTTTGAACTCAAGACTTTTTTGAATTTATCAACCATGAACTTTTTGCCGACTCGACCACGCCTCCATCACAATTAAGGATTACGTGTCAACTGGTTATGCGCCATTGAGGCCAATGAATCCGATTTCAGCCTGCTTTTCTTTTTGGATTTGCTTCCATAGCCTTTGTCCAACCAATACCAAACTACAAGGCAGCAGTTGTTTGCTTTTGGAGTTGTGTCTCCTAGAAGAGTGGCTGTCCCCAGCTAACGAGCCTCATCTGCCCGAGGGTTCGAACTCGAGACTTCTCGGTTTAGCAACCATGAGCTTTACCGACTCGACCACGCTGACCCCTAGAAATTATCTAAAGACCCAGATTCTACAAAATTATTGGGAAAGGTAAGTTATGCCTGTTTACTTGTATGGATACTTTCTATGTGAATACAAATACTACACTTAAAAACACACAAGACTAGCTAGGGACTAACCTCCAACTATAAGTATAACTGGGTAAGCTTTCTCTCCCAGTACACTAGAGGCAAGGCAGTTGTATTTCCCTGCATCCTCTTCCTTTACTCTTGGTATGAACAGAGCACCATCGTCAATTGAATATCCTCTGAAAAGCAAAGTCATATGTATTACTAGTTTCATTTACTTGTGAACAGAAGCTTAAACCAATGAAACAAGTTGTTTCATCTATGAGAAATGTAGTAGGCCATTATAATAAATTATATTTTTATATTTTGTACCAAATTACAATTTTTTTTTTCTCAAAAAACAATAAAATTAAACAAATATTTTTTTTAAAAGTAATAATAAAATACTATTAAATAAACTGAAATTTGTATTTGAAAAATTACACAAACTTAAGATCTTTAAAAGCATTTGTTTCTAAAATATGTAAGAGATTTCATGTAGGCCTAATAATCAATGCTTTTATTAATGAAAGCAAGCTTTGAAAGTTTTGTTTAAAATTTTAAGTGCATTTAAAAGCTCATTATTGTAAAGGTTTTTTATATTTTTTCATTCTCACTTTTTAATAATTAGTTCTTAATGAAGTCGACACCACATATGACTAAAAATGTCTTCAAAACCCAATTTTTAAAAGACAATTATCTGTCCCTGCTTGGCCACCTCTCAGGCATAAAACTAACCATCCATGACCAACAGTTCATTCTTATTGCAAGCAGACTGATTGAGCAACCGCTTGAGATAAATCCTATTATCTCCCATTTTATTATTGAAAATAGTAATCTTTATATAAATGTGTCTAAATTGAGTTTAATATTGCCACAAACAAACAGATGTTGCAAACTAAATCAAAGCTTGTAAAAAAAGAGGAGGTAATTTTAAAAAAGCTAAAGCTCACTCTGGAAGTTCACCGTTTACTTTGACCCATGATATTTGAGGAGTAGGACTTCCAAATGCTTCACATTTCAGTCTAGCAGGGCTGCCAATGGCTGCTGTGGTATAGTCTTGTTGGACTTGGATCACTGGACCAGCTGTAAGTATAGAAGGTAAAAAATTATCAACCCACACATTACAACACAATCAATGAACCAGCTATAATACACCTGAACCACTGAACCAGGTATAATACACCTGAATCCTTGAACCAGGTATAACACACCTGAATCAATGAACCAGCTATAACACACCTGAATCAATGAACCAGCTATAACACACCTGAATCACTGAGCCAGCTATAATACACCTGAATCACTGAAACAGCTATAATACACCTGAATCACTGAACCAGCTATAACACACCTGAATCACTGAGCCAGCTATAATACACCAGAATCACTGAACCAGCTATAATACACCTGAATCACTGAACCAGCTATAATACACCTGAATCACTGTAACAGCTATAATACGTCAGAATCACTGAAACAGCTAAAATACACCTGAATCACTGAACCAGCTATAATACACCTGAATCACTGTAACAGCTATAATACGTCAGAATCACTGAAACAGCTAAAATACACCTGAATCACTGAACCAGCTATAATACACCTGAATCAATGAACCAGCTATAATACACCTGAATCACTGAAACAGCTATAATACATCTGAACCACTAAACCAGCTATAATACACCTGAATCACTGAACCAGCTGTAATACACCTGAATCAATGAACCAGCTATAATACATCTGAATCACTAAACCAGCTATAATACACCTGAATCACTGAACCAACTTTTTAAAAATTGTGCTAAATTTTTGTGAAAAAAAATTAAATGTCTTTACCTAACTTAAAAACGTCTTTACTTATCTTAAAAATGTCTTACACTACCAATACTTTCTATACATATACCAAACCACTATTAAGAAAAGATAGCTGTTGATTTTAAACATAAATAGAAGTCTAAATAACACGAACAACACTAAGAACTCACGACTATAAATTTTACAAAAGATTTTCTCACATTTGACATGTTTAAATCCTGTGGTGGCTGAGCAAAGACATCTAAATTATTCTATAGAGCTCACAACTATAAACTTACTTTTGACGACAAGTTTAAACCCTGTGGAGGTTGAGCCAACATTTGTGGACACTGTGCAGATGTAGGTACCAGCATCTTCCACAGAAACACTGGGGAAAGTCAGAGTGTTGTCACCTATCACAGCTGTTGGTGCTAGTGGACCATCTGCTTTAGCCCAGGTCACTGTAGCTTGGGCATTGTCAGGAGCTGAGAACATGGAAAAACAGCAATATCACAACAGCAATTAGTTATTTCCCTTTATAACATAAAGAATCGGAAAAATTTTGTAACGTTATTCATGAGAGTAGGCAGATCCTTCAGATTGATTTATCAATCTGCCGGGGCACTCCTAAATGTTTCAGTAACTTTCAGAACTTCTTTTAATTTGGTGTAATCTTCTTCTGCTCCTAGCTGAGTTAATCAGACTTCACAGCCTAATTTTACCTTATATTGCAAGCTTTTTATTTAAACATGCAAACAATTTTCTATGCTGTGTTTATGTGATGGGTAGATTATAGTTCACTTCCGAATGGATAATTTGTGAAAAAAATTAATAAAATTAATTTTGTTGTAATATTCATTTCTATTTTCTACATTTAGCTCAGGAGCCCAGGGGTTTTAGGGTCAGGAGCTAAATGTTCAAAAGGTTAAGCTTGAATAAAGGTGAATAGGTAAGTAGTTTTAACACTATTAAATTTGCTTTCTGCTACTTTTTGTTGGCCATACAGCCAAAGCCTACATCATACACCATCCACTTTGTATACAATTGGATCAACTAATAATAAACATGTGGACCCATGTGTCCTAGGGGAAGATGAAGATAAACTATAAACATTAAACAAATTAATTCACTTACTCTGATAATATAATTACAAAAAATCTTAGCAGGAGACCATCTTAACTAAACTCTTCAGTTAAGAGAAATTTAAAAGGCAATACAAAATTTTACCCTCAAATTGGCAATCAAAGTTGACCTCGTCTCCAGCAAGTACTTCTTTAAGACCAAGAGATGAGGGGTCCACTGATATAACAAAAAATAATTCACTATTGGTATTTTAGTTTGAAACAAAAATAAAACAAAATTAACATTTGGTATTTTATAATCAACATTAAAAGAATACAAATGAAACAAATTTAAGAACCAAAATTTTAAACTTTTGTGCACTTGTATCTCTATCTGCGGTCTTGACATTTCCCCAAAAGACCATTTTCCTGTATGGACACTTGCCAGAATGTGACAAATGTCCAAATGGATACTTCATTGCATTTGAGCTAGAGTCCATTTGGGAAAACGCATCATAATATTTCTTATTATCATGGCATTAAAACTAAAGAAGTTCTTTGTAAGCTATAGTTATTTAATTTAAACAAAATGTATGGTAGATAAAGGTATACACCAATCGTTTTGACACAAGTGTATCCTCCATGAATGTAAAAAGCAGAACTAATAATTGGTGTCAAGTATGACAACTATTAAACATCTATTAAACTAAGTGAATCCAGCAACCTATTAGGGGAACTGACTCACCAGGAGAAGAATCAACCAAAACATATGTGAAATCTTGAGAAGTTCCGGCAGGGCTTCTAGCAATGCAGGTATATGTCCCAGAATCCTCGGGCTGGGCATTATATATACTGTAGAGAAACAATTTGTCAATGTAGAATCAGTCATTGAGACAGTTATAAAAACATAATACAAATTATTGGAAGAGCAAAATTTAGTGTGTTTTTAGTAATTTTACACATGCTGTTTTATTCTTCTTTCTTATTGTAATGTTTTCGGGATTTCCTCCAACACAATTATGTATTACATAGGCCTCTTGACTCAGATTTCTGCCTGCTTTCATTCTGGATTTGCTTCCATAAAATATGTCTATCCAAGAACAAACTATAAGACCACACTGACGCAAACACATTGTTATGAATGTGCACACTTCTTAAAAAAGTGATTCTCCACCAATTTAACAAAAAAAAAAAAAAATCGTAATGAAGTTTTTTTAAAAAAAAGGGAGTCTCAAATAAATCACATTCAAAAAGTAAATGAATCTCACGTGAGTACACCATTACTGATTGTGTGCTGGGCTGGCATTTCTCTATTTTCTCTGCGCCACTGTATCTGTGGCTGAGGATCGCCTGAGGCTATACATTGTAGACGTATGTTAGCACCAACTGATGCCGTCTGATTTTTTCGCATTGGGTTAATGCGGGGAGGAGGTGCTGAGGAAAAATATAGCTATTTTTATAGACACGATATAAACATATGGCTCCATAGTCTGATTGACCATTGGATGAATGCCCATTGGATATCCAAGCACAAAGCCTGGTGTGAGAAGATGAGAAGTCACATCTCATCTCTCCACACAACTGATGGACCCAAGGGACAGGATGTTAACTACACAGCTTGGAATCAGCTGTGTCGCAGGAGCTGCCGAAAAGAAACCAAAGTTTGATTTCCCCAGCTGATGAGCCTCATCTGCCCCAGGGTTCAAACTCTGGACTTTCAGGTAACCATGGGTTTACCCGACTGACCACTCTTGACATATAGGCCTACACTCATTTACATTCTTTTCTTAGGACTGAATAAGTTCACTAATACACATTAATAAAATATTCAACTTACAACGAACATTAATATCAACATATTTTTCCATTTTGCCACCACTGTAAAACACTGTACACTGGTAGCGACCAGCATCTGCAGTTGTAAGCTGGCGGAAAATGAGCCTATTGTCTCTCTGGCTTGCTTGAGGGGAGATAACGCCATTGACCTTGGACCACTGAACTCTGTAGGGTGTTTCACTATCCACTTCACAGGTAAGAACTAAAGGCTCTTGTACTCTGCCTGCAAGTTGTTCTGGTAGATTCACACGAGGTGCAACTGAAAAGGTAAATACTATTGTAATATTTCACACAATTCATGAAAGATTAAAAGATAAAAGTTTAGCTCTTAACCCTCTTTATTGCTGGCTCAGAAGTTACCAGAGGTAAAAATTATCAGGCATGCCTAAGGTTATTCTTTTTAAACTAATTAAAGCTATTTAGAAACTATTCGATAATTTTAAAATCTTAATATGAAGTCTAAGTGGGAGTGTTGGGGGGCAACAATCAAAACATCAGACCATCTACCACATCTAGCTCTCTCTTTTACTGTCATTACAGGCTCTAGTTATTGCTTTATAGCCAGGCAGACTGGAACAGGGTTAAGAATCAAAAATTTCTCTTGCCCATGTTACCAGCTGCTAGATACATGGGTTTGTCAGGCTTTTGTTTTCTCCCCCAGTGCATTGCAGCACCTGGTTTGGACATGAGGGACAGTTCAGTCAGGGGATGACCTACAGCCTTTAGCCAAGGATCCGAACCCATGACTTTCAGGTTAACAAGCACAGTCTACCGCTAGACCACACTGTCCTCCGGCACATCATGTTAACAAAACTGACCCTGTGCCATCCAACTCCAGAAAGTGACCCTATCCATTAACACATCAAACTCCAGAAAGTGACCCTATCTATTAACACATCAAACTCCAGAAAGTGACCCTATCCATTAACACATCAAACTCCAGAAAGTGACATTATCATTAAGTAACCTTTACCATTAACATAACACACTGAACAAAGTCACTCACCTGTCACTGTGATATATACAGATGCGTTGTATATCCTGACAGGAGGATAACTTCTAACAGTACAAATATACTCCCCTCCATATTCTGGTAGGATGTTTGGAATAGTCAGAACTCCACTGTCAATTCGGTGACCAGGGGGTAGAGGGCGGCCATCAGCACGGCGCCAGCTATACCTAGGGTTGGGTAGACCAGAGCTCCTGCATGGCAGGGAAACAGAGGTGGAAGAACCATAGGTCTGTTCACTTGGTCCTTCGATGTAAATTCTTGGAATTATCACACCCTCGTCCACAACTGAAATAAGGTACAAATTTTGGAAAACATGAATGTAAGAATGGGGGGGGGGGGGGGGGGGGGGAAGAAGGGAGAGAAGAGGGTATATAATCGGATCAATATATATTGATGAAAATTATTTTTTTCAGGAAAGTAGTATAGTAGACCATTAAAAAAAAAACTATATTTAGTTTCTACTACCACTAGGCCTACCCTCAATGAATTTTCATGTAAACAGTAGGCCTACATGCACCTTTAATAAAAAATAATCTGATTAGTCTAGACTGCCCTGTTAGATTCAGTTAATGTTAATACCAGATTTCTATGGTCTCATGTAAACATATTTTCTAGAAACTATTCCACAATATGCATACAAGATAATTAAGAATTAGCTAAGTTGGCAGCTGAAGGCAATGGAAAATGGGTGTTGAAGTCCACTATGGATGACCCCTAATATTTAGCTTTAACAAGCAATAAGGTGAGAAACTAGATTTTGAAATACAACTAAAATGATTGAAGTAAATGATTCCTTATACACTTATGGGCGAATGAAGTGGAGTTTATATAATATGTGTTAGTGTGAGGTATGTGGGGGAGATAGTGTGGTGATAAGTTTTATGTCAAGCAATGTTTACTTTCACTAATGTGAGTTAAGTACGTCTACCCATCAGAGTTGGGTGGAGACATCCTGTAGTCTAGAATCCAAACTGTGCCATTCCATAAAGACATTTAGAGTTTATTCCCCTTAAAATTTGTTTTTAAAAAAAGTACTTTCACCCTTTAAGACCAGAATTTTTTTCACGGTTTACAGGAATAAATTTTTTTACGTCAAATTTTTTCAGTACTTAAGCTGCAAAACGACATATCTATTAGTCCAAACATATTAATCGTATTAAATGCCCTACAAAGTAATATTAATTTAAGTTTATCTATTGAAGAAAGAAAAATACTTAGTTTCAAAAAAGTAAAAATAATGATGAGCTTTTCCCAGGAAAGAAAAATAAGCTTCTATCTGGAAATTTATTGATAAGCTTTTCCTGAGATCTTATTCACAGAAAATGAAAGTATGTACAATTTCAAAATCATGGACTGAATTTGCAATAGAATAAATACAATAATTTTAGTAAATTTAATAACATGTCTAGATAACTTCTTTAAAAAATTCCATTCTGCAAGTGGTTTTACAAAAAAAAAATTCAATGAAATAGAAATTCAGCAAAACAGGAAAACCACAATAAGTAAATAGAAGTTAACATGGTAGCTCAAATGGCCTAGATTTAAAATTAAAAACTTAAGATTCTTCAAAACAAAGAATTAAATAGAGAACATGTTATCGGACAATGGGAACATCATTACCGTATGGCAAGCCAACTCATCCAATACTGCCTTAAAGAGTTAAAGCTGTATAAATTTTTTTTTTTTTTAAAATGAGCACTATGAAAGTTTCCAAGATGAAAATTTGATACCACTAGTCCATGGTGATGAGACCCTACGTACCATTGATATCCACAGTCTCCTCAGTACGACCATAACGGTTGCTGGCAGTACATATGTATTTGCCTCCATCTGACTTGTCTATAGACTCAAACACCAGTGATGCAGATCCAGGACCCTGCAGACAATTTTATAAATAAATTCAAAATTCAATGAATAGCTGGCAAGCTGTCTTACTTATTAAACTTTTTTGAATGCCTAATATTAAATGTATTTTTAATAAATATCATGATTTTAAAATATTTGTTACAAGCTATTTTTCACCAATCAAACTTTGTTGTATTTATAAAATAAGTTTTGAAACAAAAAAATGGGATTAAAAAAATTTGTTTTTCATCAACAAATATGTAAGGTAAAAATAATTAAAAAATAAGTGATATAATAATTTTTAAAGTAGACGTAATAGATTAAATTTTTAAAGTTTAGAATGGCCTTCACTTACCGAGTCCGAAGCCTCAGGTAGAACATCTGACCTCCTCCTTTGACCAGAGCGCCAGATGACAGTGGGGACAGGTTCACCAATGGCCACACAATCAATGTTGATGCGCTCTCCAACTGTTATGGTAATGTTCTTACCAGGGGTCAAGTTAATGACTGGTGGAGCTGTACAAACAAGAAAACAGGGTGTGTTGTTTGCAACAAATGTGTCATTGGATCTATCTATGATAAGCTTTGATCTAGTTACAGATTCTATGTGCTTAATGTAATTTACAGGGGTAGATATGAGGGTTCTATCCCCTTTAAATCTTTTGTTGGCAATCGAAAGGTGCATGACTGGACAAAGCTACCTTTTAAAACCTGGGAATCCATGAGATGGATGAAGTAGAGTTTAACCCTTTGTGTGACAATAAATACTGTGGTCAGGACTATGTCCAGCCATAATTACCAACTGGTATGTCAGGCACGTATCAGAGCTGGGTGGACTCAGGGACATAGTATGGATTTGAGCAGCCGTTTGCTCTACCATCCGACCACACTGCCCCACGACAGGTATGCACTAGTGATATTTAGATGCATTCTATCCACTTACACTCTTTTGTTATTAAAACAAAGGTGTGTGACAGGTAAACATATTGTAAAACAAGTCACCATACACTCACCTTGTGCAAGAAGACAGGTTACTCACCTTGAACTCTCAGAGTGGCTGTCTGTGTGGCTGTCCCAGCTTGATTAGTGGCTGTGCACATGTATTCACCCTGCTCTGCTGATGTTATATTAGTGAACGCAATGGTGCCATTCTCAAACAATCTTGTCCTGGATGTGAACCTCTGCCCTCCAGCCCTTTCAAGATTAGAAATTCATTTTATGGTATGAGAAATCATGTTGGTCAGCATACTCAGGTTAATGGATTAACCATTAGCTAATTAATATCCAGGTTGAGAAATTAAATAGCAATATAAACCTAGAATCAAAATTAATTAGCACTGTAGTATTATTATTTTATAATTGATAAAAGAATTACTTGTCAAAATGTTTTAGCAATAATATGTTTATTTAACAAAGATTTTTTTCCATAGATTTTTTTTATATTGCAGAAGAAAAAAATAAAGTTAATTTTTATTTTTGAGTGTTTAAAAATGTGAGCTCACCTTGTCCAGGTAACAACAGGTGTTGGTCTTCCTTCAGTTACCTCACAGTGGAAATATGTGTAATCACGAGCATAGGCTACCTGCTGTGAGCTAGGTAGTAGCCTGATCTGGGGATCCTCTCGTCCTGGAAATATAATGCACTTCATGAGAATAACAGATTTTGAAATTGAAGTGGCAGGACAAAGTGCTGGGTATAGAACTATAGAGAAGAACAAGAGCCCATGGCTATGCAAATGAGAAGGAGGAAGTGGTGCTGGGTGGGACACACTATGAAATGTCATACACCAGGCACTTGAGTGAAACCCTCAGGCAAAGCGAAAGAGAGGGCACCCAAGACAGACCTGGAGGAGGAGTCTTCTCGATGAACTGAAGACTGAACTGAAGAGGTTGCTAAATCAACAGCCGGGGACCGAACAAAATGGTTAAAGCACTATGCTCCACAAAGAGTAAAGAGGATGAAGTCAAGTAATATAAGAATTAGATGCCAAAATATAAAGCATAATTTATAGCATATTTACAAATTTTAAATCCTGGTAATGTTTTTGAAGTGGTTGCTTCACCAACTACAGCTTTGGCTTCAGTTATAAATTAAATACAGGATGGGGTGGCCACAGGAATGCTAACCCTTAAGTCTAGTGTTTGAATCCCAGACTTTACTCAGTAAGACAACACTTGATTCACTTTGTTCTGTTAGGTACCTGACTCAAGTTAGGGAAAGTAATCGCAGTTGAGGATAGAGCTGATTTGTATGCCATAGCTGAAAAAATGAGTAAAATCTTTTGAAATTTTTTTCATCCTGCCATATAAACTGCCAGGTCCAAAGGGGTACTTTATTAAGGAACTAAACATATATTCTGTTTTCTTCAAGATGGACGAGTGCCAACGCCAGTTAACTACATAGCTGTTTCATGGGTATATATGTCTATTCTAACCAGAACAGCAGGTTTATAAATAAAGCTTATCTTACTTTCAATGTCAACAAAAATGCTGGCTCTATCACTGCCTCCTGAATTAGTAGCAACACAAGTGTAGTAGCCACGATCCTCCATCTTAGCCTGGTTGATTCTCAAAGTGTCATAATATGCCTGGTAACAAAATGGAAAGGATTTTTTAAAATGGGTTTCAGAAGTTGCTGAATTAGACAATACTCTTGATGCAATGCAATTAAATTTGAGAATGATTAAATATTGCTGAATAATTATTAAAGAAATCTTGATTTAATGTAGCTGAATTAATAATATTATTAATTTAATGTAACTAAATTTAGAGAATAATCTCGATTTGAAAAATACTTAAAAAATTTTTTTTTGTAGAGTAAGCTAGCAAATTGGGTTTAACTGTTTGGTTTTATGAACAGTTGAACCCACTTCTACTTTAAAATAGTAGCTACATATGACCAAAAATATCTGAATGGTGAGGGAGTGAGTTGGGATTGTCTCTTAATCCAAGCAAATGAAGGGATGTAATTCAGATGTCTTCCTAGTAATCTTAGGCAAAAGAAATGGTTATTGGCCATTGCACAAGGTCAAGAAATTGTTCTACTTCATCTGTCTTAAAATGCCCCATCTAGATACTATGCTTTACAAAGTAGAGTTTTGTAACTTTACTTGAAAATGAACATAACGTAAGCCAAATTTAAAGACAAAGATGATAAATGTAATAAAATTATCAGTTTCTATAAAGATGGGTTCCTGGATGAAATAAAATTTAAAAAGAGGACTTAACAAAGATATTTTACCTGATGGTTGGAAGAGAGTGGGCCCCCAGATTTAGTCCAGGTGACTGTTGGTCGTGGGTCCCCAGTGACAATACAACGCAGGATACCAGTGGTGCCATAGCCAACATTCACTCTCTCCTGCTCCACTCTAACAGTTGGTCTCTCATCTGCACAATACAAGCCAATTTATGGGGAAACTTAAAGAGCAGGATGGTGAAACAAAGGTGAGCAGGGAGGTGAGACAAAGGTGAGCAGGGAGGTGAGACAAAAGTGAGCAGGGAGGTGAGACAAAGATGAGCAGGGAGGTGAGACAAATGTAATAACATGTATACAATCGAAGATTTTATCAAATCTTTTCTCGTGTTTAAAACTCATTTTTTAAATAATAAATCCAGAACAGCCTACAGCTTATGACTTAGTATAAATAAAATCTTCAAATAAAAATGTCAGATACATTATTCTGTATTCATGATACAAAAATATAAAAATACAATAAATAAATCTAATCCTTTAAACAGCTTAGTAAAAAAAAAGGAGAAGCACTGACATCCTGTAAAAGTGATTGTAATTGTGGCCCTTGGTTTATAAAATAGTTATATAAGGGAGGAAACTAACAGTGACTGTAATTGTGGCTCTTGGTTTATAAAATAGTTATATAAGGGAGGAAACTAACAGTTGTTGCAGTAATTAAATAGTTATAATAAGGGAGAGCACTAACATCTTGTAACAGAGACTGTAATAGTGGCTACTAGCTTATAAAATAGTTATAAAAGGGAGAAAACTAACAGTGACTAGTTGTGGCAGTAATTAAATAGTTATAATAAGGGAGAGCACTAACATCTTGTAACAGTGACTGTAATAGTGGCCCGTCCAACAACGCCCCTGTCAGTGGTTCCAGTGCAGACATAATTTCCCTGATGGGATGGCTGCACATTGACGATGGTTAGGACACCATTCTCTTGTATTGCACCTAGAAATCAACAAAAAAAGTTAATACGACTTTAAGATTGGTTGTGTTGTTAGTTTCTGTTTGAGACATGTGGTTGTCACAGAAGAAATAAGTTTTGCATTGAAATTTAATGGATGAAGATGTTTTTCACATTATCTCATTACCAATTTTAATAACTGGAAATTGTTAATGCTATTTTTCTTTTGTTGCCATACTGATATAAGAATGATTTGGTCTTTCAGAAGGCCTACTGCTTAAGTAAATTCTGTATAGGCAATAGCAGCAAAATTGTTTATAGTCCTACAACAAAGCCATTACCATAGCTTTAACTGGCTCATCAACAAATATGTTTGTATCAGAAATGGTAAAATTTCCCCAGACAATTCAAAGTATTTCCAGGCGAAAATTCAAAATTTTAAAATCAAGCATTATCTCATCTCATTACCAGAAACTTTCTTTTAACAGAAAATCTTATTTTAAAAAAAAAAGAAAAAAAAAGAAAAAAAAACACTAACATTTGTGACTTTACTATACTAACACAAAATACTGTAGTTGAAATAAAATAAGCTTGCTGTTCTTATGGGGGAAAAGTGCAGTTCTCCTTAATTTGTTCAAATTGAATCAATAGCTCCTTTGAAGAGAATCAGTGAAAATAACACTTTGGGCTTTAAAGCTTAATCAAGCACAGAATCATCATTATTGGTGATGTGATTTTAATATAGTTGTATAGTTAATGACAAGGTTTGCAGTACTTGACAGTATAACTTGACTACACTCTTACACGTAAGTCAACTCAGTCAAGGGTTTATAGAAATTACAAGGGCTGTTAACACTTGTACACACCTGGAGGCAAGCCACCGTCCTTGGACCAGCTGAGGTTGACATCATCACTTCCTTCAGCTGAACACTGCAGTCTCTCAGTGGCACCAATGTTGACAGTGATGTTGACCCTTGGAACAATAATCCTGATGTTGGGAGGAGCTGGAATAACAGGCCAACACTTTAGTTGGGGATCAAGTAGGAAAAAAGACAGGCCAAACATCATTTTTTGATGGCCAAATCTTTAATTTGGGGGGTGGGGGGAGTACAACAATGGCAGGCTAAACATAATCTTTGGATTTAAAGGCCAACATTTAAGTTTGGGAGGATATAGAAAAATATCAGGCTAGAAATAATCTTTTGATTGGCCAACCCTTTAGTCTGAGAGGATGGGAGAACAAAACTGGTCGCTCAAACTTTACCTTTTGGTTTTTAAGGCCAACAGTTTGGGAGGAAGTAGAAAAAAAGTCAGGCCAAACTTAATTTTTTTTTTAGTTAACACTTGAGAGGATGGGAGACCAAAACTGGCAAGCCAAACATAATCTTTTGGTTTTTAAGGCAAAAACTTTAGTTTGAGAGGAAGTAGATAAAAATCAGGCTAGACCAGGGGCGGAACTACAGTGCCGCCAGACCCCGCAATGCGGCGGGGGCCCACTCCATTTAGGGGCCCAAAGCCGACCATAATATTTTTTTAGCTACATTCTAAAAAATTTTCTTGCATTTTTGACTTGATGGTTGTTTTGTAAAAAAGATCACCGTAGCTGCGGTTGGATTTTCTTTATTCTATAGACACCACCCCACGCTCTTGTATATACTTTTTCCCTTTGTTTTTAAACCACTGTGAAAGCCGAGTCCTCTTTCTCATACAATCAAACTTATCAAAGATAAGCGGACTATCAAACCACTTCCATGACTTATTTCCCTTTTTTAAATAGTCAAATAGGGGTGCTCAAAAGCTCCTTTTAATAGATTTTTACTAAACATATTAAAAAGCAATTACTTCTCTTAATTATTATATTTTTTTAAAAGTACTTATAAAAGAATAAAATTGAATCAAAAGGAAAAGTATTTAAAATGAATAATATAAATACAAACAAACATAAAAATAACATAACACGACACACCATTACTTAAACAAAGCTTTCATGGTTTATATTCTTTTGACCAACTAGAGGTTTTGAGTTTTTAAAGCAGATTTAAAATAAGACTTATTTTCACAATACGCACCTACTTACATGACATAATGTTGTAATTTGTTTTAGTTGAATAAAAAATTTTTTTTTTCATAACCCGAACAGGCCAGCAATGAGTATCCTATGTTCGTATTTTGTGTTTGTGTGTGTGTATATATATATATATATATATATATGTGTATATATATATATATATGGGGGGGGAGGGGGGCTAACAAACTTTTTGCGGGGTGGCCCTTTTTTTCTAGTTCTGCCACTGGGCTAGACATAATCTTTTGATAAGTCAACACTTAAGTTTGAGAGGGTGAGAGAAATAAAATGGCAGGCAAAACATAATCTTTGGGTTTTATAAATGTTTCAGTATCTAAGTTTAAAATAGTGAGAGCCAAATTAATTTCCAATAAAATCTTACTGGGTGCAGGAGTGACATAAAGTACAGTCCTAAGCCTTAGGGTTCCAGCACTGTTGGTGGCAGTGCAGTAGTAACTATCCTGGTCTTCTGAGGTGGCTGCAGGGATCCTCAGCACACCAGTCTCATCTGTGTACACATAGGCTGGGAGATCCTGGGCTTTTTCTGCACACACAAATGTTAGCTTTGTTACAGTATTTTAAAATTGTATCATAATAGTCCTCAATATGTCTGGTCTATAATAATTCCTGGGTATAAAAATTAACTAGTTTTAACATTTTTATTGTGTTAGTCCAGTGGTTCTTAACCTTTCTAAATACACCAAACCCCCACAAGTTTCATATACATTCACCAAAACCCTTCTTAATAGTTCTATTATCTGCACTGACAAAATCCAGTCAGGAATCATGAGGGGTGTGAGACTGATTCAGAGAACCCTGCGGTTTGATCTAACCCAGGTTAAGAACCACTGTGTTAGTCCTTATACAACAGTTCTATAACCACCCTAGTCAAGCAACAGTTCTATAACCACCCTAGTCAAGCAACAGTTCTATAACCACCCTAGTCAAGCAACAGTTCTATAACCACCTTAGTCAAGCAACAGTTCTATAACCACTCTAGTCAAGCAACAGTTCAATAACCACCCTAGTCAAGCAACAGTTCCATAACCACCCTAGTCAAGCAACAGTTCTATAACCACCCTAGTCAAGCAAGTTCTATAACCACCCTAGTCAAGCAAGTTCTATAACCACCCTAGTCAAGCAACAGTTCTATAACCACCCTAGTCAAGCAACAGTTCCATAACCACCCTAGTCAAGCAACAGTTCTATAACCACCCTAGTCAAGCAAGTTCTATAACCACCCTAGTCAAGCAACAGTTCTATAACCACCCTAGTCAAGCAACAGTTCTATAACCACTCTAGTCAAGCAACAGTTCTATAACCACCCTAGTCAAGCAACAGTTCTATAACCACCCTAGTTAAGCAACAGTTCTATAACCACCCTAGTCAAGTAGCACAAGCAGGTGTGAAAAGTAAATTGGTTTGTACTGTCATCACCCAAGTGTTACACATTTAAAAACAGCATGTGTTGTATAAACTGTTTACAATTTTGATTGTATTAATACATTTTTTTTGATAAAGTAAGTTAAAATTTGATATTTATATATTTAAAATTGCTATCTTAAATTTCAGCACTTCTATTTTGAGAATACACCCTTAAAAAGAAGGAATTAGTGTAAAAGAGAAGTAGCAGAGCCTAAAACAAAATTGAACCTGCACATCAATTTATGTAATTTTCTTGAGAACTATAATTCAACACTGATTAAAATGTAATAAAATATTTATACTCCAAGGAAAATGAACATAAGTATATTTAAAAATTGGTCTTTAAAAACCATTATATCTAGCAGTAAACTATTCACCTCTGCTCCAAACAACAGTTGGTCTTGGACTTCCAGCTAGAACATTACATCTGAACTCCACACTGTCCCCTTCAGCAACCCTCAAAAACCTGGGTTCTATTCTAATGTTTGGTCTTACAGAGACAGCTGGAACACAGAAAAAAACAACCTTTAAAATGCATTCATAAATACTCCAGACCTGTAATTAACAGACAAGAGTTAGTGTCATCTAATAGCCTGGGACAAATATAATTTAGTCCATGATTTAATGCCCTCAAGACATGTAATTGACAGACAAGAGTTAGTGTCATCTAATGGCCTGGGGCAAATATAGTTTAGTCCATGATTTAATGCCCTCAAGACATGTAATTGACAGACAAGAGTTAGTGTCATCTAATGGCCTGGGGCAAATATAGTTTAGTCCATGATTTAATGCCCTCAAGACATGTAATTGACAGACAAGAGTTAGTGTCATCTAATGACCTGGGACAAATATAGTTTAGTCCATGAATTAATGACCTCAAGACTTGTAATTGACAGACAAGAGTTAGTGTCATCTAATGGCCAGGGACAAATATAGTTTAGTCCATGATTTAATGCCCTCGGATGCACACTTCACTACTCTAATTTCTAATTCAAAGCTTTTGTTTGTGTTGTTTGGAGTTCTATTGTTTAGCCCAGGGGTCTCCAAACTACGGCCCGCTGGCCGTATGTGGCCCGCGAGGTCCTCTTATCTCGCCCGCGGAGATATTTTTTACTTATTAAGGAAGCATAGGTGACTAGGTGCTAGTTACTAACATCATTTTACTACTACCCAAGGGTTAAACCCCCCCTATGATATTTATATATGAATAAGATAATTTCTCTGTTTTCACTTACATTTGCTTTGTTCAAAAAAGCTAACAGCCATTTTACACTAAATTATTAAGTCTCAAATTAGGGAAAGTAAACACGATTGGGTATAATGCTGAACACGCCATCCAAACAAATGCTGAGGTCACTGAAATCTGTGATCTTTATGGACTTCTAAAAGAGGTTCTAAAGAGTGCTTTATGTTGTTGTTTTTTTTACCAACTCAAGCTTAACTTTTAAACTACCAAACAAATATCCTTACTTCCAAAGACAATTGTTACATTGACCCTGTCTGTACTGCCAGGCTGAGACCCTGTGCAGGTGTAAACTCCCAGGTCGTCTTCATCAATGTTAGGGATGACCAGCTGACCATTCTGTTCAAAAACTTTTGGTGGCAGGCGCCTGCCTGATTCTCTCATCCATGACAGAACATAGTTGGCCTGAATAGGATTGGATGAGAGAAGTCTGATTCAGGTGGATGCAGTTGGGGGAGGGGGAGGAGGGGGAGGAATTCCAAAACATTTTTAGAAGTAGGTAAATTTACAAGGGACATTACACCCAAGATCACTTACCCCCAACCCTTGAGAATACATATACTTAAACCTATGCATTTCCCTTTCCAGTAAAGGACCAATTAATAATTGACCTGGGGAGAGGAGGCTAATTTCTGTTGAGTAATCTTACAGGGGGTGAGGATAACAATAATGACCAAGGAGAGGAAAGTGGATACTGACAATGGGATGTAATGTCCTGCTCCCGAAATCATATATATATATATATATATATATATATATATATATATATATATATATATATATATATATATATATATATATATATATATATATTTGATTTATAAGTGGTTACAGATAAATTTATCAAAAAGATGTATGTAAGAAAATAGCTCACAGCACTGCTGTACTGAACAGCCACACAGGAAACTGTGATGTTGACACCAGGTCTTGCAACAATTCTGGTTTCTCCCTCAATCCTCACCCTTATTGGGGTTGATGGAGCTGAAAAAACATTCAACAATTTTATACACTTTTACAGTACTACTTTTTTATTTTTTCAACTGTACTTTCTTTTATTTAAAAAAATAAATAATTTTTTGTTTGTACTTGAATGAAATTTAAGAAATACATTTTAAAATATAGTCACATTTTAACTCGATGTTTGCACAAACTAACATACATAAATAAAAATATCCAAAACATGATAGCGGAAGAGGCAAATCTGTACTTTGGTAAAAATTTATGGAATTTCAAAGTGTCTATAAATAAATTAAAAAACTGCCATGATAAAAGATTCTGTCAATGTTTGTGTATATATAAAAACATTTTGTCAGACAAAATATTTTAAACCAGGCTAGACAGTATATCTTTGTTCGCTGTGGTCAAAGAAACAGACACACCCTGCCCATTTCACATAATTAATGCAGTCTGGACATAGAACTGACCACAGTGTATCTTTTTGCTGGCGTCAAAGAAACAGACCAACCCTGACCATGTCATACAATTAAAGTAACGCAGCAGTGGTTAGTTTAAAGACTCACCTTGTACCACTAAATCAGTGTAGCCGCGGTAGGTTCCCTCAGTGTTTGAGACTGTACAAACATATCTGGCTTCATCCCGGTACTCCAAATTGGAGATGGTCAGCTTGTAGTTTGGCCCTGGTCCAACGACTGCTCTGCTGGGTAGTGCTCCACGGTCCAACCTGCTCCACACAACATTGAAAGGTCCACGGCCATTGGGTACACACTGGAATATGGCAGTGGAGCCAAGCTGCTCAGTGAGGCTGGTGGGGGTGACTGTTACTCTCACAGCTGAAAAAAAAAATAGTTTACAAATAGGTAAGTTCTATCCAAAGAAACATTTTTTTTTGTCACTTAAAACTCTTAAATATTATTAATCAGCTTTGCAATGAAAGTAACACTTTAAAAAATAGATAGCTAAGTATTAGCTTTGAATAGGCCAAGCTTGCTAATAGGATAAAATTGTGACTTTACGCTCTACATTGCCAAACACAATAAAGAATGGTGATTATAGTAACTGGAGAGGCCAGACCCCTAAGTCCTTAGAGACAAGTCTGGTTGTCCAGCCAGTTTTTTAATACATTTTGAGGTGATACACAGAAACATGTGGTAACTTACCTGTTTCTATCCTCTCACACTTGCCATCTTGTATCCTAGGGTTGCCAGTGTATCCTTCAGCACACCTACAAGATAATAATACAAGTTTTGATAGTAAACTTTCAAACAATTCTTTAAATTAATTATTTAAATTAAGTCATCACTTTTATATATGTCAAGCATCTTTATTTTTAATTGTAAATGCTTTTGTAAATAGTAACTAGATAACACCTGAACTATATACAAACAAACTAAGACAGGTAAAAAAAAATATATTTAAATCTTACTCTCCACAATCCCGTCCAGTGTATCCTGTTCTACACCTAGTACATGTGATCCTGTTGTCTTGAGCCAGCATACAGGTTGGTGAAAAACTGCAACAGGACAAACACATAAAAAAAACTTTGTTACAAGGCTTATTTGACACATTATTTCTTAAGCTTCTATATAAACTTATGATGACTGAATACTAGAATATTTGAAACAAGACAGTGTTGGATCTGAAACTACTATTTGGCAGAATTACTTAACCAGTAATCAGTCAAAAAGTCATATATCACTGGATATTAGGTATAAAAAAATAAGAATAGGTGAAAATCTATTTCACTAAATATAAATATAGACTTATAGGTGATTGTACTATATTGTAAACAATAAACTAATGTAATTAAAGCAGAAGGTGAGAGGGCATGTAAAGGATAAATAATTTTACTTGTTGGATGCAATTGTGAGTGGACAAGCACATTGCCGACAGTCAGATGGTGTTCCTGAGGTGGGGTCTCCATAGTAACCAGTAGCGCAGCGCTCACACCTGTCACCCTCAGTGTTATGGAGACAGTTCTGTACAAAATAGATGTAAACTTCATTAAATAAGAAATGTAATATCAAAAATATACAGTCCTGAAAAACTTGTAACTTGACCTTATAATATTTGTATAACTTGACCCAAAAATGTTTGTAAAAGCTGATGTTAAAATATTTGTGTAGCTTGATCCAAAAATGTTTGTAAAAGCTGATGTTAAAATATTTGTGTAACTCCAAAAATGTTTGTTTAAGCTGACATTAAAATGTTTGTGTAATTTGACCCTAAAATATTGTGTAAGTAACCCTAAGATATTTGTGTAGGTGACCCTAAGATGTCTGTGTAGGTGACCCTACGATGTCTACAAAACCAACCAGACAGGTTCCAGTGTTGGGATCACAGCTTGTAGCATGACCGTTGCAGTTACACCTAATACAGCGACCATAGGGGGATGCTGGATCTTCAACCCTGAGATACCCAGATGAACATTGCTGTAGAAAAGTTAAAATGTTGTTACTGGCCTTTCTAAGGGCATTAGATAATACAATTAACTCTTTTATAACTACACAAATCTGACTGACAATACATGAAGTTTCACACAAATATGTATAGCTATAAGAATGTTTAACTTAAAGTGACACCCTTTTGCATATGACATAACAATTATTCCAATTTAATCCAGTATGAGTTTCAGTAGTGGCCCTGCCTGTAATATCATAGACTACTCTAACATCTATTAATATACATGCTGGCCAGTTTAAACTAGTTAGATTCAAACACTCCCACCCTGGCAAATGGACCAACTATTAAAGCCCTCACAATTTTGCCACTAGCTGTTTGTGGTCAAATTGAAAACAAAACAGTTGATGAGAGCAAAATTCTCAACTGGTAAATTTAAGGAGAAAATTAGGAATTTTCTAAGAAATGAATACTCTACACTGCATCTGAATCTGTCTTACCCTTATTACTTATCTAACTTTACATGCATGAGGTGCCTTGTAGATGTAGCATCACAAATTGTTCATCGTAAGAGAGAATTTATCATGGGACACAATTTATCAAGAAAGACAAATACCTTATGGGAGACAATTCACTAAAAGATATAATTTATCATGACAGGCAATTCAGAAAGAGAGAAAATGAGATAAACGACAGGGGAGATAATTCATTCTACCTGACATGACAGGCCAGAGTATCCCTCAGGACAACGACAGTATTCAACTTCAGGGGTGCCCCTGTTGCCATTAGGTTGAGGAACAGCTGTCTCCATGCGCAGATTCTTCAGTGTCAATGTTTCCATGGCAGAGTAGTAGGTTGCCCTGATCAGAATAGCGCTGATGTCAGACAGCACAGACAAGAAGGTTTCTCTCGTTGGTTTCTGAGTCTCAGTGGGAGTTCTGAATGAATCCTGGAGAAAAAAGTTATTCAATGTTTGTAAAAGTTGAACTTTTATAGATGTACATAAAGTTTAACGAGAAAAATAATTAGCAGTATATAACATTAAAAAAAAAAATTTAATATTTTTTAAAGATTGATCCAAAGTTACCTTAATTTTAGATTCGTTTTAACAATTTCAATCCAACATTTCATAAATTTGAAGACCAGTTTGAAAAAAAAAACACTATATTTTTTAAAGCCATCATACTTACTTCAACCAACAGAATCTCATAGTCATATGATTGCTGGGGTCTTGGAGAGGTGCGGAACTGCAAGTACAGTCTCACGTCTGATCGGCCCTAGAGAAAAATATAACTCTGTTTATCTAGAGATCTGTAAAAATTTCCTTAAGTATATGAAGTGACACTAGTTGTGTATAAAGTGAAGTCCAATATTGATATTTTAAACTTCAAAAGACATTTGGGTTTCTGAAACTTTGAAGGACTGTACCCTATTACCATCTGCCTTATCTTCCATAGCCTAACAGGTAGCTCACTTAGAGCTCTCTTGTATAGGAATACATTTTAGACTAAAGTAGTGATACAACTTAAGAAGAGAGAATCTTGAAATCTTGAGGTACATAGCCACAACACAACCATTCTATTAGGATAATCATCAAACTCACAATGATTTCAACATCAACATCAGGTGTTTCTAGTCCTCTGTTAGAAGCTGTGGTGTAGGATAATCCAAATTTCAGGTAACCTCCATAGGATGACACCTAGATTGAAAACAGATTAAATCATTTCATAATAAAAATTGTTGTATTTCTTGAAAATTCCATCTAATTAACAAGAATAATAATGATACATCAATTTATATCACATTCAGGGTAGATAACTTAGGTAAGTTATTTGTTGCTGGATTTTAAAATTAATTTCAAACTAGTTTTAAATCAGTTAGGACACACCTGCCATTAACAACATTAAAATAGTGTTCTCATATACTTTAATTAAATAAAAAGACCTTCACCAAAACACAAAAAATTGGGCCTAATAAAACAACAAAAACAGATTATCAAACAAAATGTTAATGTCAAATATCACTACCTTATCTCCTCTAAATTTTGGTGGCAGCTGAATAAACAAACTCTCACGTGATCGCTGGATACCCCCAAATCTGACAAATGTCACATCGTTGGTCTCTTCATCAAAGCTGAATCCTTCAGTGATATTTCTTGTGAGTCTTCGGTTAACCAACATAAAGTTGTGAGAACCATCTTCATTTAGCATGGGTCTTATCTACAATAAATAAAGCTCAATATGGGTTTAAAGATTAAAACTCAACATAGGTCTTAACAATAAATAAAATTCAATATGGATTTCAGCAACATGGGTATCTGTTAGACGTGAATTATAGGCATATGTTATTGAAATGTTACACTTGTTTGAGAAAAATATTTAATAAAATAGTTATTGCTATCTGCTTTACTACACGTTGAATGGTATTAATGAGAAAGAAAGAAAGAAATAAAGAGAGAGAGAGAGAGATTGATTATTGACAATAAAAACATGGGTCTTTTTTATAATAATAAAAAAAAACATTAAATTAGCTAATAGTTTGCCTATAATAGTAGCACATTTTTTTACATGGAGCTATCTACAAAAGATAATGATATGAATTTCAATGTTTTGTTTTAAAATGAATAGCTACATGATGTAGGTAAGATTATGATAAATAGTGGTAAATTGTTTTTATGTTATAGAATAATGACAAGTAAAGGATTAGCCTAGACGGAATCGATTCTACTTTGGTTTAATATACTAGATATTATTTAGACCAGTCTGCTTACCTCTTCTCTGTAGTAATTGGCACTTGAACATTGATTAGAAATTCCCATACAGAAGCACTTGGTGCACCCTTGTTGATTGTCATCATTCAAGTGGAAATAACCTCGCTTACACATATCACATCGTCTCCCTTGAACATTACTCTAAAAAAGATATCTTAAAATTAGATGTACTCTGAATTTACTAAAAGTAAAGCTAGCTTGATTTTTAGAAACATTTGGGATGATTACCCATGAGGGTTTGTCTAAGCTAATCACAAAATTTAATTTAGGACACAGAGGTAAATTATTCATTCAGTGACATAACACTTTTTTAGGAATTTTTAAAAATCTTTTGCTTTTCTTAATAGCTTGAAAACTGTAGATTTATTTTTCCTAAAAAAATAGGCTTGTTAAAGCTCATTGTGAAAAAAAATTCTACAAAGAAAATCTTATCATTTATTTATTTACAACATTATTGTTCTAATACTAGCAAGGGATATTTACCTATATTATATATGTATATATATACATGTTTATAGCAAGGGATATTTACATATATATATATATATATATATATGCCTACATATAGGCCTACATACATGCATATATATATATATGTAAGATTTTTTTGAAAATGTATTTTACTAGTAAACATGATCTTACCTTGCATTGGCATTGTTTAGTGACAGGGTCACAAAGGGTGTTAGGTACTGTCCCTCTTTCATCGCAGTCACATGTGACATCTAAGGATTAAAAACAAAAATCAAACAGTAAAGCTGACTTTCAAAAAGTTTTTCTATGTGTGCCAATTATTATTATTGTATCCATTTTTGTATATAAAAAAATATGACCACCCTTTATCTTATTAATAATTTTATTTAGTGAGTTTTCAGTTTACATCTTAAAATGACACTCACTAATAAGTTTGCAATAGTCTCCCGGGCGCATAGGGTTGCCTTGGTAACCAGGTGCACATCTGTAAACATCAATTAATAACATGTAAACTTTTAAAATTAAAATCACAGCTAGCAGTCTTTAACAACAAAAAAAACTACAAAATAATCATCAATGCTTGCTGTGAAGCTAATAAAAAATTTCTTACATATGCGAATGTCAGAAAGAAATGAACTGCACTTGGTATGACCTATGAACTATCATGTACTAAAGACCTGAGTCAACTTACCTCTCACATCTGCGTCCAGTATGTCCAGCTGGACAAGCTGTACAAGTAACCTGCCCATCTGATTCCAAAATACAATCTGTGCTAAACCTGAAAGGAAATTTTTTTTTTAAACAAATGCCTAATAATTCTATCATTTATTTTCAGGAGCTACAAGTAACCTGCCCATCTGATTCCAAAATACAATCTGTGCTAAACCTGAAAGGAATTTTTTTTTTTAAACAAATGCTACAACGAACACACATATACATAAACATGACACTGTCATTAAGTATGCTTGCATTTTATATGTAATATTTTGCAAAACTGAGCTTATTTTAAAGAGTGAATAAGTTAGTTTAAATATGACTTACTGATTGTTATATAATATTCAGAAACATAATTAATTCTGGCAGCACCACACTTGAATTACTTGATTTAAATAGCACGAGCCGACCCGCGGCGTATCATACGCCGCTATTTAGTTGATTTATTTTCTACTTTTCAGTAATTCATAATTTGTGAATTCGACAGTACCAATGCTGCCACTGAAAATATTTGCTTTAAAACACTAACCCCCCTCCTTTCCCCTAACCCCAACCCTACCCCCCCCCCCCCCCCGTGAAAGCAGCCTCCTCTTAGTTACCTCCTGTAAGTTTAAAGTCGGTTCAAACTAAATTATCTGCCCCTAATAGCCGTCACTAAACCTGGCTGTACGGTTTGTAAACATAAACGTGACCACAGCTCAGCAGACCATGTGGGGGTGGGGTAGGGTGGTAGTGATAGTGATAAAGAGAGGGGACTGTAAGGAGGCGCTTGCAGCTTGTTTTCTAATGGCTCGCAGAGGAGAATTATATATATAGATTGTAAGTTTTTATTTAGTTTTCTTAATAAGAGAGTGATAGTAATGTATTTTTACTCCAGTATTGGTTTTAAAATTCACATGCTCAGACTTCCTGTTTTGAAATAGGGTTTTACAGTAAGATGTTTTTCTGCTGTTGAGCTGTGTTTTGTTTTTCTTGTAAATTTTTAACCTAATCAATGTAAAAAGCAAAATCTCATGCAGGTTAATCACTGTAGGAATTTATTTTAAGGCTTCAGTTGGGTTATTTTTGTTTTTCATTTTCTATTTGACTTTGGCATAGTTATGTCTTTTGTCTTAAGACCAAAACTAAATTATGAGGGTAAGAGAAAAACATGATAAAAGCTATAAATAGTAAAAAAAAATGTAAACTTACTGGTTAGGAGAATCAGTCAGGGGGCATGGGCACTTCTGGCAGTCATTTTCAAAGCCGTTAGTTGCAACACCATAATAACCACGGGCACAGCGTTCACAGTATTGTCCCTCTGTGTTGTGTCGGCAATTCTATCAGACAAGTAATGCCAAATTGATAGTAACAGATAAGGAATACATTTTTAAATTGTTCTTATTTTGAGATAAGTAATCAATTAAAGATCAGGAACCAATTTTTATGTTTAGAAAAATAACCACATAATTTACAATTTTAGATAATTTAAAAAGAAAAATTGTTAAAAAAATAATACTAAAAGAAAATGAAGTGTAGTAGAAAAACAAATTTTGAACTGACTCTGCAATCTCCATTCTCAGCATCACATTCAGCAGAGTGTTTGTTACACCTGCAGGGCTCACATAAACCAAGGTAAAGTCCAGACCCTGACCGTGTGTAGCCAGTGTCACAATCCTTGAAGAGAAAATATATTTTCAAAGATCTTCTTGCAATAAAAATTAAATTAAAAAAAAAACTACTGCTTCAAACATCTTTATGGAGTAAAACTAAAGAAAAAGGGCAAAATTTTTCTCATCCACCAAAAATAAAAAACAAAAACTCATTTCATATATCCTCATGCAAAAACAAACAAAACATTATTTTAATCTTTATGTTACTAAAATATGGTTTAGATTTTATTATTTAATTTAATTCAAAGTTTAAATAAACCGGGAGTGATCTCCCCTAAACTTTCTCGAATATTCTTATATAACTTGGAATATAGACATGATTTTTAATTACTTAAACTTTTAAAAATAGAATAGAATCTCATAGAAAAAAGAATTGCACACCAAGCGAACGCCAAAGCAAAATGTGCATAATAGTGCGCAATATTATTAGCACTTTATAAATTTACATACGTTTTTTGAGAAATCGGAAATAGCGTAAATTAGTACTTCCGGTCAACGGAAATTACTCAAAATTTGAAAGAAGGTAGAGAATTAGATCTTTTACTTACATGTGAAATTTCATTTATCTATCTGAAATAGTTCTCAAGTTATAGGCTTTTGAAAAATTCAAAGTAGAAAAAGTACCACTTCCGGTTATCGGAAATCGCTCAAAAGTTGATACGGATCTACGATTTTGATAAATACTTATATATGAAATTTCACCAACCTAGCTGTAACGGTACTCAAGTTATCGTGTTTACACACAGACAGACACACACACAGACATACGGACAAGATTGCAAAATTATGTTTTTCCGTATAGTGAGGTGTAAAACGTCGAGATTTGTAAAAATCTCGATTTTTTTTTTTTGTACACGATTACAAGACTTTCTCTATACTTCGTATATACGAGAAAGTAAAAAGTAAAGAAATATAAGGTCTAAGAACTCTTACCTCACAGGAAAGGCCTTTGTATCCTCTTGGACAACTGCACTGCTCAACTGTGTACGCACGCTCACTATCTGTATCTCGGTCTTCTGCTATATCCATTGAAATGCCACTGATTCTGTTCATATGTGATAACACAAAAATTAATTTCTTTGTAAAATATTTAATTTTTTTACAATCCACACTTGAATCAAACCACTGTCTATTAAAAATGTGAAAAGTGACGCAACAAGTGGATCTGTGGCATCTGGCATTCAGAACTTACGAGGACTCAGCAGTGTCAGATGTAAAGGTCGCTCGGATGAGAATCTTATCCAGGTCAGCTAAGACCATCAGCAGATGTTCTCTGGTTGCTCTCTCACCGTCCACTCTACTCCATTCAGACTGGAATAAATTACATGCTTGTTTTAACTTCATTGTTACATCTTATGTAAAATAGATAATAAAACACGGATAGCTCAATTTGAAATTATGCAATAGTTTTTTATTTAATGGAAAACAAAAAAATCACTGTAAAATTTGTATTATTAAATAAATTTAAAAACATGTATATAAAAAAGAAGTTAGACAATATGGGCTGTCTTTACTGTTGGCACATCCTTTTTGTCAACAAGGGAATACATTCAGCAAAGCATTACTTTCTTTCAGCCCATGATCTAGTTTAAGAAACATTTACTGGGAAAGATCTCCCTTAAAGGAATCAGGCATACCAGGCTAGCCTAGATTATAACACTAACACATAGTTTTATCAGCGGTATGATGAAGATCCATCAATTTAGAAAATAAACTGATAACAAATATTACTGAAAGCACATTTTAGTGGGAAACTTTGTAATGCACTGTTATAAGAAAATAATAGTATGTAAGCCTATACATACCTCAACAAAACGGACAGAGAATGATTGATCCTTATTCTCCATCAGGGGAGTTCGAGGCAAGTACACAAATACAATGCCATTTCCCTGATAAAATACAACATTATGTTTTGAATTTTACTTAAAGCTTTCACATTATTAGATACTTTATCGCAGGTTAACAAAATGTTCCATGTAAACTGGTAATCTTAAGTAAATAAACTTTCAAAGCTAAGAAAATAAATCACAAATCATAAAAGTAAAATATTAAATTAAACTGCAAGAAAATAAAAATCTTACTTCAATTTCAACCAAAGGCTCATCCAAACTTGTTTGAGTATCATCCCTTCCTGGTCTGTATTTAAGAGTGAACCTCAGGTTGCCACCGTAAGCTGTCACCTTATTCCCCAAAAACTGCTGAGGCAAGGACCAGTAGTAGTTACCTCTCTGCAACTGGTTAAACCTTGAGTACTTCAACACCTTCGATTGTCTGTCAACGCTGAAGCCCTCTTCTATCTTCTGCTTTTGCATAGCGTCAGTTAAAACAAGGCCTGCTTGGTCTTGGAAGAATGCTAAATTGACCTGTGAATTTTAAAAATGTATAGCAAATCTGAAATTTATCTGAAAGAAAGAGAACTAAAACAGCGGTTATAAATATATATTTGTTGATTTAACAGGTCAACAAAAATCTTAATGTAAATCAAAAATATTCAATAGGTACAAAATTTAACATGTTGATAAAAAATAATTTGTATGTATATACATATACATATATATGTATATATACATATATATGTATATATATATATATGTATATATATATATATATATATATATATATATATATATATATATATATATATATATGTATATATATATATATATATATATATATATATATATATATATATATATATATATATATATATATATATATATATATATATGTTTCCAGCTAAGCTAGCTAATTATTTTTAAAAACTCTCCCAATGTAAATGTATTTACCGCAGCCCGTTTCCATGTGGTACTTTGACAAGCCTGTGTGACCCCCATACAGAAGCAAGCAATACAGCCATATGGAGTGTAGTCTGACAGGTAGAAGGTGTCTCGTCTACAGGTGTTGCAATACTGTCCCATTACATTAGGCTGTAAGGAGAGGATTCACACACTTGTCAGCAATCAATTGGTAAACAGAAAATGCGTGACTTAAATTTTTTTCTAAATAAATTAATAAATAGTATACATATAGATGATATGTGAATTCTTACAAAGCATGCTTTATGCCAAACAAAACTTATAGGAATTTATTTCTGGTCTTGTATGATTTTTCTTCTGCTAAAATATAACTTTATTAAATCCCAGAAATGTCCAGGTAAGTTACATTTTATTAGTTACATGCTAATGAATAGTTGGATAAAAACAAACAAATAAACAGCAAAGGATGAGCTACCTTGCATTGACATTGTCTTGTGGCAGCATTTGGAATGGGAGACAAACTGCCTCTTGGGTCGCAGAGCTCGTCCTCACTCTTTGGTCGGCACCTGTCACCTGGCGTCATTGGGTCACCAACATAGCCATCAGCACAACGTTCACACTGGCGACCAGTGTAGCCTGGTTGACAGGCCGTGCAGGTGATTTGTCTATCACGGTCTAGTCTGCAGGTGCGGCTGAATCTAGTTGGTAGAAAAAAATTTTTAAAAGGATTATTCAAATTTAAGAATATTTTTAATTAAGGGACTAAAGAAATCTAAACTCAGTTTTAAAATTGTATTAATCAGGGGATGTGTGCAGAAGTTTTTGGGTGAACATCTAGAAATAAAATCATCGTGAAGTAGGAATGAACTGGCATTTAATACTTAATAATGTTGGAGAAAATCTCTGCAGTGTTACAAATAAGAACAAAGAAAAGAGAAAAAAAGTAATGCATCAAAAGAAAGTGATTAAGAGGTTGTTATACATTTTGAAATATTCATTAGCCTAATTTTTCAATTAAAAATAATAAACTTCATTTAAATTGTAATTTGTGTTGGATTAAATTTCATCAGAAATGTATTTTAAAAAATTCGTACTGGTTTGTTGATATTGTGAGAGGACAAGGACAAGGCTGACAGGCATCTGGTCCCTGGTTGCGTGGGTCACCAACAAAACCAACAGCACACTCATCACAGTACAGTCCAGCTGTGTTATCAAGGCAGTTCTGGGGAGATGGTAAGTGTTGGATACAGCTGATACTACAGAAACGGTGTTCGATAAAGCTAATACTAAAGAAATGTTAAGTGTTAGAGAAAGCTAATACTGAAGAAATGTTAAGTGTTAGAGAAAGCTAATACTGAAGAAATGTTAAGTGTTAGAGAAAGCTAATACTGAAGAAATGTTAAGTGTTAGAGAAAGCTAATACTGAAGAAATGTTAAGTGTTAGAGAAAGCTAATACTGAAGAAATGTTAAGTGTTAGAGAAAGCTAATACTGAAGAAATGTTAAGTGTTAGAGAAAGCTAATACTGAAGAAATGTTAAGTGTTAGAGAAAGCTAATACTGAAGAAATGGTAAGTGTTAGAGAAAGCTAATACTGAAGAAATTGTGTTTTATGAAGCTAATTCTAAAGGAAGGGTAAGTAATAGATGAATCTAATACTAAAGAACTGGTAAGCTTTAGATGAAGCTAATGCTAAAGAAATGGTGTTTTATGAAGCTAATACTAACAAGATGTTTAGTATAAGTCATGGCTAAAACTGAAGAGATGAAGCAAATACTAATAATAATTAGATGGTAAATTTTAGATGAAGCTGATACTAAAGAGATAGTAAGCTTTAGAATATGCTACAGTAACATAAAAAACTGATCAGTCAAGAGGTATCTGCGCTCAATTTTTATCGTAATATTTTCTTGTTTGGTGTCTTTTCTACCATTTGTTTTTAAAGGATTTATTCATAGAATGTTACATTTTTCATCCAGTATTGGTAACCAAGTTAAGCAAACTATATGCAATAAACTGCAATAAACAACTTTCAGTTGTAATTATAAATGCTATCTAATTATGAGGCTCCTAAAAGCACCAGAGTTTTAGATACATATTTCAATACCTTAAACTGCAGCTATTATTTTTATTTAAAGCACAATCTGGTGTCATTTCTGATGGATTTAAAAAAAAACTCTTAAAAAAGTAACAATCCACAACATGATCAACTGTTTTAGCTTATTAATATGAGCATAAAATCAAGTTATCTTCAGAAAATATTTACCCTGCAAATTCCAGTTAATGCGTCACAGTCATTTGAATGGCCATTGCAGTTGCAGGCAATACACTCCCTGCCATAGCTTCCTCTATTAACTCTGTAATATCCTGGAGCACAGTCCTGAAACAAACATAATTAATTGAAGTTCAACAAAAATTGAACATCTCTTTTATATTAAAACTTTGGTTGACAAGAAACACTTCATTAGTTCCATCAAACACATTGTATTTTTTAACCGTATGAAGCAATTTTATTTTATTCATCAGCTACTTCAAAATATAAAAAGACAACCAGAATTGGAGAATTTTTCAATTTGACAAACAGCTAGGCAAATAATGTAACAAAAGTTTATTTTAACAAAGACTTTTTTCCCTTTGAAATATTTAAAAGTTCCAACTCTAAGAATAAACCATTGAAATGAAATGTCCCACCTCACAAGATAAACCAGTATAGCCTCTAGGACAGGTACACTCCTCCACATAAACAGCCCGACCTAATCCAGTACTCTGAAGAACACCAGTTGTTAACAAAACATTGCCAAGCCTGAAACAGAAATAATATGATATATATTTTATTCTTTTTACGTTCAAATTATGCACTTTTACTTTAAAATATTTTCAACATAAAAAAAAATTAAGAGAATAGTCTTAAAAAAGTTAGATAAAAGAAAGAACCCATGTTTGCACTAATTCAAAATGTAAACTCAGACAACGTATCTGAATTCTGAATAGTAATTTGCTGTTTACGAGTAGAGTTTCAAGAAGTTCACTATGAACTAACCCTAACCGTAACCACCTACTTAATGAGAGATTGTCTGCTGTCGTAGGTAGCCCTAATCAAGATGTGGGTGACATTTTCCAGGACCATCATTAAATCAGCACGAGAGGCATATTCAGTAATGGGCCCTGTTCTTGAATCCCTGCCGTCTTGAGTACGTTCCCAAGCAGTCTACAAACCCAAATTTGCAGTAGTAAGAAAACAGAATTGTAATAATAATAGAATTTCAAAATAATTAATGTCTCATCAAATTGAAGTTAGGATAGTTTTTTTATATTTTTTTACACAAAAAAAAACCAAGCTTGATGTGAAATGAAAGTTAGTGGTCATAGGCATGGCCTAGGGGCAGAGTGCTAGACTGCTAACCCAAAAGTCTCAAGTTTGAACCTGGGTTCAAGTCATTAGAACATTCCTGAGTCCACCCAGCTCTGATGGATCAATAACTTATGTTAGGCAAAGTAAGGGCGCCGTTCATCTACTTCACTTGCCCCATGGACCATCAGGTTTGAAAAGGGAACTTTTTACTTTAGTAGTCAGAGTTTAAAACTATTACAAATTTTGTAAAACTCTATTTTAAAATGAATTGAAACTGGAACCAATAGCAAACAGATACAAGACAACAATGTTCTACCTCAATAAGTGGTACTCGGACGGTGGTTGGAGTTCTTGGTCTAAAAGTTGATGATGATTTATGGAACAAAGTTATATTATTGCCCTGAAATAAAAAAAAGTAATTCTCAATTATTTGTAAAACAATGTAAGACCATTACCCTTAAAAATGTTCTCACTTATTTTGTAATATCACACCAAGCAAATATTTCATTATTTAAAAATGCATGAAAAGTTATAGGCTACTTTATAATAATAAAACATTACAATTTTAAACTGGTAATTGAATTCTTAAATAAGACCATGAAAATAAAACCTACAGTAAGAATGACATCAGGATCACTGGTGATGACATCAAAATTGTCAACTTCATAGTAGACCTGGTATGTCAGCTCTCCACCATAGCTGTTAAGCTTTTAAAAAAAACATAAGTGAAATTATATTTAATCTTAAACTTTTTTTTTAAAGCATTACGTGTCAACATGTTATATGCTATTTAGGCATTTAACTTCAATTTTCAGCCTGCTTTTCTTTCTCTATTTGCTTCCATAGCCTTTGTCCAACTGTTTAGGAGGAAATACCTTCCATCATTACAATTTCAAACGAAGAAGAATATATTAAATCTTACTAATTCCACAACTAAACTTTAGTAATTTAAAGCACATAAAAAACTAAAGTTAAACAAATATAGAATATATTGATATACATTGCAGAAATAAATCACTAAATACTGTAACAAAACATATTTACTTTTTTTTACTGAGAAATCAAACAAGAGACCAAAAGAAACTAGCACTTAAGAATTTTGCAAAGCATACATTTAAAATTTGAAACTGATAAATACTGTGTTGAAACAAATATTTACTTTTTTACTGAGGTACTGTCTAGGGAGAGACCAGTAGTAGCTGCCACTCCTGAGAATCTTGTTGAACTCTCTGATCTGGAACTCACGAGATGATGGAATGTACTGCACAATGCTCTGGTCCCCTGGCTCCAGGCCGTTGCGACGACGCACAAGGGTCACTTGATTGCCCAGGGTAATCTGGAGTCACAGAAATAATTTTTTTTTAAACTTCAATCATTTTTAAAACAAGCCAATAAAAATTTTCACTATGGAGTTGAGGTGGAGAACGCATCTGCTTCATGTGGCAATTTTCATCTATGTTGAAAAGTAAGGTTTTTCAGTAAACAACTATTTTGCTAACCCTAGCCAGAGCCCACATTTTAGCCCTGACCCTAAACCTAACAGTGACAACAATTAAAATAAATTTACACAGATAGTCAGCAGAAAATGGGTGTTAAAATGTAACAATTTTGTCCAGATTTTAAAAATTAATGCATGACCTATTTTAGCAGAGTCCAGATCTAAAAATAAACATGTCCTGTCACCTGAGATAGCTGAAGACTGCTACTGTAGCAGGTCTGAGTTTGACCGAAACAGAAACATCTCACACACTGATTCTCTGTAGAAGCTTCAGCATTGAACCTGGGCAGTTTGCAGACTCCAACAGTTCCTAGGGACAAAACAATACAAGCCACTGACCACAACAGTTGGTGATGTCTTCAAGTCACATTTTTCACACACCACAGAGAATATTTTAAAATTCTCACATTTTGTTAGCCAGCTCTGTACTCAGTGCTTCAGAATGCTTTGCAACTAATGCACCCCATAAAATAATGACAAGGCATTTCACTTATTAAAAAAACCTGGACTTGTATTTTGTTTAAATCTTTACACTTCAAATGTCACTTCACACCATTAACACATCCCTATCAACTCAGACACTGGCAATATCTTACTGCCTAAAATTAGAACTTGCACATCAGCTTAATTTTATCAAAAATAAACCAACAAAAACCACATGGCTCCTAACACCATACATTAATTACATTGTGTAACCTAGTACAGAAAATCCTGGCACAATCTGAAGTAGTGATTACATATTTCAAAGATAGATCATAAGTATCAATCACATATCCCACAAAAAACTCTAAAGTAGCTATCACATACTCTATTACTTAAATACACATTAAAATAACTTAAACACTCACTTCTGACAATGATCAATGCATCAGGAATAGCAAAAATGCTGCCTCTGTTGTTGATGGCTTCACAGGTGTAAGCACCAGCATCCTCTGGAACTGCATTACGAATAGTTAAAACACCCTTGCCCTCAATACTGGTGACAGTGACCCTATCGCCTGAAGGAATGTTACCCCAGTTCAGGCGCCACACTATCAGAGGTGTGGGGACACCTATGGCCTCACAGACAATGGTGAATGTGCCATTGATTTCCACCGTGATTTCTGGGATAGGTGGGGTCACAATGGTTGGTGGGGCTGTGAAATGGAAATAAAACATCAAGTTTTAAATGTTAAGAGACATTGTTATTCTATCCTGTTAACAGGTGATATGGATCAATAATAAACACTGAAGGAACAGTTTAAAGAGACAGCTCTACAAAATAAACATTGGTTTGATTATACAACTTTTCTAGTTGAAATACTAAAGTAGCATTGATAACGCAAGCTGCATTAAAAAATTAAAAAACCTACATTAAAATGTATGCACATCATAAAAACTTAAGAGGAAATAATTAAGTCCAAGATATTAAAGTGGAACTTTAACCTGTGTAGGGTGAAAAAATAAAATAAGTCTACTTCTGTTATAGAAAAAACCAGTTCTCTCCGCATCCAATCTTATCACTTTAATTAAAATTCTTCTGTAGCAGAAAAAAAAGGTCTTACCACATCCAATCTCATCACTCCTGTCAAGACAATCAATCTCCTCATCACACTGGTAGCCAATGGGAATACACTGGTCCTCGCTTCTACACTGGAACATTCTAGAATCACATGGGGCACCAGGGATGCGGGCAGCTGAAAAAATTGTAATGTGCTTTAGAGTGAAGAGATGCAGGCAGCAGAAAAAATTGTAATGTGCTTTAGAGTGAAGAGAGGCAGGCAGCAGAAAAAATTGTAATGTGCTTTAGAGTGAAGAGAGGCAGGCAGCTGAAAAATGTAATGTAAACTGAACAGAAGTGAGCAGCTGAAAAAACTTTAATGTTAAGTGAACAGAGGTGGGCAGTTGAAAAGTTTCTAATGTGCTGTAAAGTGAACGGAATGGGCAGTTGAAAAGTTTCTAATGTGCTGTAAAGTGAACGGAATGGGCAGTTGAAAAGTTTCTAATGTGCTGTAAAGTGAATGGAGTGGGCAGTTGAAATTTTTTTAAAGACCATTATGCATCTTATAAAAGTAACTAAGTGTAACAATCAGTAAACACCAGCACATACAGAAAGTCATCATTCTTTTCAGAATTAGTTTTAAGTAAGGCGGATGAAGTAGAGTTTGTCATATTTTTATAGTAATGTCAGTTGTCATTATTTTCTCAACTTAAGTCAAATGCTTAACAGATTTGGGTGGACTAAGATACATCGTACAGGATGAAGCATTCATATTAGCCACCATGTGCTCTACTACTTAACAATGAAATCTCATTTCTGCATGTCCTAAAACTTACTGCAATTCCATTCATCAGAGCCATCAGCACAGTCCATGTCTCCATCACAACGCCAGATCTTCAAGGCACAGTATCCATTGTTACATCTGAATTCATTGGGTTCACAAGGCAAGCGATTAGCTGAAAATATTTTTTTAAATCTTTTTTAAAAATCTTTAAAAACTAATAGAATATTACATATTACATTTGAAAATCAAGATGAAGCTGTTTGTATCTTTCATGTAATAAACCAAATTTATTTTCAATTATTTTTTATTTTTAAAAGTTACTCTAATTTTACACCCATCTCTGTGGCTCTGCAGCCAATGGAAGGCTTTAATTTGCTTTTACTCTAAGCTAATATCTAAAATTTTAAATTATATTAGGAAAAAAATTCCAAAAGTCATAGTTCTTGATGGAATCAAAACAAATTGGGATCATTGCAGAATATTTGTTTGTGGAAAGCAAATGTTTCTTTTTAATTGAAATATGCTTAAATTCTTGGTATCAATAAAATGATGTACTTACTACAACTTGCTTCATCTGAGCCATCTGTGCAGTCTTTCTCACCATCACACACGTAATCACGAGATATACATTCTCCGTTTGAACAAGTGGCCTCGTCATTCTTACATAAACCATTCTCATTATTACCGGGGGTATAAACTGAAAAGGAGAATAGATACAAGTGATCATGGTATATACACATTTAGAGATTGTAAAAGGTGAAAGAGCAAATCTCATAGACTACATTCACAAGCATTCATTACTGGTACAGGATCTATCAACCACAGGGGGAGGGGGGACGGAGGAGAGGAAACTAGATAGGAGAACAGATATGGAATACACATTTAGAGATTGTAAAAGGTGAAATAAAATCTCATAGACTATGTTCACTGGCATTTAACCAAAAGTAAATTCAGCTACTCTACAATGTCATAAAGAAGAAAACTGTCATTAGACCACTAGTGCTGTACTACTTCCAGAATGTCATTTAGTAACCTACATTGATGATTATGTTAGAAGTCATTTAGTAAGTTTACAATGAGGTAGATGATGAAATTAAAACCATTCCATTCATACTATATGAGGTATTATTGCTATTGCTTACAATTATCATGATTTTAAAATAATTTAATTTTTTTTATGATATAGAATACCAGTCATTCCATTTTTTAGATTTAAAGATATTTATTTAATTGAAAGAGCTAACAGCTATAAAATTTTAAGTCTGTTTTATTCATCACATTTGAAATAAGGGTTAAACTCACCATACTCTACAGAAAGGCGAGCTATAGCCTCAAATGAACGGACACCACTGGTGGCTGTACACTGATAGTCTCCACTGTCCTCTATCTGGAGGTCAGTGATTGTGATACGGTTGTTTTGAACCTGGGCTTTAGAGGGCATGGCCTGCCGAAGTAACAAGGAGTTTTTATACATCAGTAAAGGTTACCTTTACAGCATTTTTTGTCCCACTAAAAATGACTAGAAAATAGGTCTATAGACATTTACCGAACATTTTATACATTTTAATCCTTACTGTTCAGCCAGTTAATTCCCTCTCACATCAAGATAACAAAATCTTGTTCCATTTACAATATGTTATGAAACTAAATTCCTTGAAAAAATTAGCATCAAATTTCAGCCAACACGAAATCAGCCTCCCAAATTGCAATTTTTATTTTTTAAAACAACTCATTTCTTTCTAGAATGTTAATTATCCCCTTTCATCATAAGGTATATCGATCGATATTAACTATAATTTTCATGATTCTTTTAAAAATGCAAAATAACTTCTAATGTTCAGATTCAAAAATTGTTTTTCGAAACATGAACTCTAAATTATCTTATCACAAAAGTCTGACCCCCCCCCCCCTTTCCGCCTCGGAGTGTAACATGATTTATGGACAACCCTTAAACTGACGTCCTATACTTACTCCTCCAGTTCTCCTAGTCCATGACACTCTTGGAGGTGGGCTGCCAGTCACTTGACAGATAAACGAAGCACTGGTGCCAACTCGTTTGATCATCTGCTGAGGGCTAATTGAGATGATCACATCATAGCCTGGAGAATTACAACCAAATAAAACTCAATTTCTAAACACTACAAATTCTTCAGAACAACATTTATTGGGGATATTTAAATTAATATTTACAATCAAATGTACTACAAAACAATATTCTTGTAGTATTTACATTAATTCCACAATTCTATACTGTTAAAGCTCTTTTAGATCAAATTTATCCTGATATATTAGCAGTAGCCATTGGTTAGAAGAAAAAAAGTAGGTAAGCTGACAAGGATTTACCATAAAAATACATAGGAATTTAAAAACTTGATTTAAAAAAATAATTTGTAACTAGTTTTAAATAGTAATACAGAAAACTTGAGGCATTTAAATTAGTTGTTGAAAATTTGATTTGAAAAAAAAAGCAGCTAAGCTCAAGGATTTACTATAAAAATACATAGGAACTTAAATTGATTTTACAATTTCTTAAACTTGGTTTATGTAAAAAAAAAAAACTGGATTTATTCGAATTAGTAATGGAAAACTTACTACAGTCCCCTTCATCAGACCCATCTGGACAGTCAAGTCTGCCATCACAACGTGCTGAACGTGGGATACATTCATTGTCTGAACATCTAAACTCTCTTTCATTACATTCACGAACTGTAATGTAAACAAAAATGCACATCTTGTAAATACTTTAATTATATTAATATTTTAATTAACAATCCTATCTATATAGGACATCACAAAACATGTGAATGTACACTTTTGTGAAACGTGTGATGAGTTGGGGGAGAATGTTAAAAAATGAAAATATGTTAATTTACATTAGCTTTTTTCATATTTAATGGGGGGGGGGGGGGGGGTTGCATCTGAATTTGTATGCAACTTATGGGTAGAACAATGCTAAAATTGTATGATATAATTTGCTGTCTACCCTTAATATAAGACCATTTTGGAAAATACAAAATTTTGTGCTTTCAATGATTTCTAACAGCAAAACTTTCGGATTGCCAAACATTATTATATAAAAGCATACTTCTATATTTGTAATTATATGCCAATATTCCTCACAAAAAATATATTATAAGATTAGTAAATTAGAATATTTTAACAGCAATAAATTCTTCCACCTACCACAGTCCTCTTCATCACTTCCATCTCCACATTCAGGTCGTCTATTACACCTATAGCTTGCTGGGATACATCTGCCATCGCTAACACAAGTAAACTGATCATCACCACAGGCTGCGGATTTCATATTGTGTTTCAATTATTTAATACATTTCCTAGATGATCTCACACATGAAAAAATACAAGTTTCATAAACATGTCTTGTTTTTTTTTAAAATATTAATGGTGGAATAAAAATTATTATAACTTGGATACATTTATTTTTTATGCTTACGGCAGTTTCTTTCATCACTTCCATCTCGACAATCATTTCGTCTATCACAACGTTTGCTGGATGAGATACACTGTCCAGAGTTGCAGGTAAATTCGTCAGGTTTGCATGCTATGTAAAGAAAATACCTTGTTAAAATTTTGAACCAATTTTTTTAATCCTCCAAGACTTCTGTTATCTTTCTAACTGTGTAAGATGGTTAATTATCTTAATACAAATATCCATTTTTACAAGATAAACATTTTGTATTTACTTTACATAATATTAACTACAAAGTTTCATAAATTTAAAAATACAGTAATCAAAGAAAATACTTAAATGAGGTAAGAAAAGCATAGAAAAGCTGCCACTCCAGTGGTACTAGACTAGCTGACTATCACATTATTAAGCAAGGTTAGTAATAAAAAGAATAAATTAATGATCCAAAAAATTAGTTACATAAAGAAGACAACATTTTACTATAAGTGATGGTAATGATTACAGAATTTTAAAATAAAAAGCAACAACAAAAAAAAAAAAACACTTTATAATTGATACAGATAAATAATATAGATGAAATGTATTTTTAGAAAGTTACTGCAAAGGAAATCACAATTTTATTTTTTATATTTATGAATGTTAGTAACATCAATGAGAAAAAGCCCATGTAATGGAGTTTTACAATACAAAAACAAAAAATAGTAAAACAAATATCTAAGTAATATTATAAAAATATTTTTACAAAAAAAAATAATTAATAAATACAAAGTTAAGAAAGTAAATAAAGATAGCCCTAAAACAAGCAAATTCACACAATAGCCAAATTAAATAATAAATGAAGTAGATAAGCTTTATACATTTTTAGAAAAATGCTTTTAAATAATAGGTTTCTTTAAGGGTAAAATGGGAGAGAGCTAAACTGCTAAACAGAAATTCTCAAGTTCAAATCTGGGTTCAAGTCAGCTGAAAGTCCCTGAGCCCACCCAGCTCTGATGGGTAATTGACACATGTTAGGGAAAGCAAAGGCGACTGTGCACAGTGCTGACCACACTATCCCTTCATATGCAGAGGTTTCTAGAACAGATGAACTCTACTTCATCTGCCCCATGTGTCTTGGGCACAAACGGGTAAAGATGATGTTGATAAAGTGAACAATAATTTAATAAATTAAAAAAACTACCAGAAACTGGGGTATGTATTAAACATAAGAAAATTTTTTAATAAAAGGTAAAGACAACTAATCCAAGTCTTTTTCCAAGCTAAAATTATTTATTTTTAAAACACTCAAAAATATTTTAGAACAAATGGTTCCTGCACAATGATAAAAAGAAGGAAATAAAAATCCACATCAAACAAGAAAAGCAAAAATAGTCTAGCTAGGTAAGCAGCAGTGCCTGCGGTAAAACTTACAACAGTCTTGTTCATCAGAGTTATCTGGGCAGTCCCTGCGACCATTACAGACTCTACGGCTGTCCAGACACTGGCCGGTGCCACACTGAAATTCCCCTACTTTGCAGCGTATAACTGAAATTGTATGCTACTTAGCATCAAAAACTTGACAATGAGCCAGAACTTCATGCTATTTGACCTGACACATAGTAGAAATCTTGCGCTGCTTTAGTATCAAAATATGAATACAGTGTATGGCTCATTTTTGGTGATTCTAAATTTAAAATCCACTTTTTTAAAAGAAAAAAAAACATCTTGCATTTTGCAAGATAACATTCTTCAAGTTATTTTATATAGCAATAAGATAGATGATAACACAATGATAAAAATAAGGTTGAAACAGGTCATGAGCAGGATTCATATTTTTAATTAAATAAATACTCAAAACATATTTTTGAACAACATACAACAGAAGCACATAGATCTTAGGACTAGGAGTTAAACAAAATACCCATACACTTTTATACACATTGATCTATCAGTAGCTTAAAATATCTACCCATTTTTATACTATAGAGGCAAATTGATCATTAGATACAAATAATAAATTAATAGTTATTCTTTTTTCTTTTTACAGAATATCTGACTGATTAATGAGTACAAAAACATTATTTATGACATCTCATTGCAGTTAATCAAATTTCATGATTAATGAGTACAAAAACATTATTTATGACATTAGGGTGAGTGCTTAATCCACAGACTTGCTAAAAAGATGGGATTTCTCAATATATGAGATAACTATAGTAGGAGAGAGAAAAGATATAATCCGTTTTATAACCATCTAATTTCTCACACTTACCACAGTCCTGTTCATCAGAGCCATCAGGACAGTCATTTCTTCCATTGCACAGGGCAGAACGAGGGATACACTCATTGTCTCCACATCTAAACTCTCTTTCGCTGCATTCTCTGACTAGAAGAGAATTATCATAATAATTAAATATTTTTTAAGTTAAATTTATCAGCTTTTAAACTCTTTCAATAGAGGCCTTAATAAAAAGAGAGTTATCATAATAATTAAATATTTTACTCATCTGCATTTAATGTTTAAACTCTCTTTTGTTACATTCTCTGATTAGAAGAGAACTATCATGATTAAATATACTTTAAGTTCATGCAATGTTAAATATAAATAACTCAGGTTTTAAAATCTTTCAATAAAGTAATTGGCAAAAAGAGAGTTATTATAATAATTAAATACAGTATTTTATTTTTTTAACTCCCTGTTACTACCTTCCTAGACTAGAAAAGAATTATCCAAATAAATAAACAATTTAAATTACTCTGCACTTAAACTTGCTTTCACTACATTTTATACTAAAAAAAAAAGACAATGGTTGTAATAATTAAATTATTTAAATTCATGTAATCGTGTAAATATCTAAGAGTGAAACAAGATTTCCTTGTTAGTAAGTTTTACACCCAACCAAGCCGAGTTTTTGTATTTGCTTAGACGCTCTTTTTTTTTTAATCCAGCTAATTATCTTAATTATATTACATTTACAAATAGGCCTATAGTCAAAAGGAATATTTTCATGACCCCATTTGTAACATTTTTGAAGATAATTGAGAGATTTGAAATAAATTATGTGTGCATTTTTCAAATCACACAGGAAATTCAAAGGTGGATTCAATTTTTAATGAAACCTATATCTTCAACCTACCACAGTCCTCCTCATCACTTCCATCATTACATTCAGGCCGTCCATTACACTGGTAGTCAGAGGGGATACACCTGCCATCACTGACACAGGTAAACTGATTGTCATTGCAACCTGCAGATTAAATAACTCGTATAAAATTTATCTTAAAAATGTTCAAAACTAAGGAGCAAAAATTAAAATAATTAGATTTGTAACCATAAATTGTTTAGGCTACTGATGGAAGTATAAATTGCTTATACTATACTTATTGGTTATAAATTGTTACTACTTATTACTGAAGTATAAATTGTTTATACTAAACTTAAAGAAGTATAAATTGTTTATAGGGCCTACTATAGTTACTATAGTATAAATGGATTATACTATGCCTAAAGCAGTATAAATTGTGTATACTATACCTACGGCAGCATAAACTGTTTAAATTATATTAACGGATATATAAATTGTTTTACTATAATTACGGCAGTATAAATGGTTTCTATTATACTTACGGCAGTTTATTTCATCACTTCCATCCCAACAATCACTTCGTCTATCACAACGTTTGCTATCTGAGATACACTGTCCAGAGTTGCAGGTGAATTCAGTAGATGAGCAGGGTGCTGAAAAGAATAATAACATTGAATACTTTTTAACATAAAAAAAAAATATTTTCCTTAACAAAGACTGGGCAAACCTTAAATTTGATTTTAATATATTTTAAACATGATGGAAGAGTGAAAAACTTGAGAGAAAACATCTGCTACCAGTAGTACAGGAAAATTATTTTTTGTTTTAAAAATGTTCATAACTTAACAGTAAGAGATACAAATATAATAAAAATAATAAGAAATTATTTTAAAATTTCCTACTTTATAGATAAATTGTTAGCTCAAGTCTGTCATATTTTAGTACTTAGCCTATATATATATATATATATATATATATATATATATTTGTAACCAATCAAGTTTAATTTAATTATATTAGTAAATATACTTCACATAAACTGCAGTGGATTAAGTTTTTGCATCTTATTAAGAGTGTTTTGTTAAAAATTAAAATAGATACCACCAACTATCAAGGCTTGTCATAACTTTTTAATAGCCTGAATTACATTTTTATTACTATAAAAATGGGGAAATGAGAATATAAATTGCTGGTTCTATCCTAAATATAATATCCTACTGAATATTTCAACACATCCTAAAAACTTTAATTTAAAAGATATACTAAGTAATCCATTAAAAATGGTATTTCTTAATAACAAAAACAGCTTCAGTATTAGAAAAACAAAATTTGTAAGCACAAGCAGGCAAATAAAGCATCAGTATTATATAAGAGAATATGGAAAAATATAAAGTTATTAATAGCAAAAAATAAGTAGTACATTTCCAGTTGTTTCAAATTAAAACTTCATGAATCTACATGCTGTTTGGAGAAAGATGATTTTAAAGATGAATGAAAATAAAAACTAACAATATAAGTACAAAAAAGAAACTGTTACAACAGACATGGTTAATGTACTATTACACTTATGGGTTAGTAAATTTGACAACACATTTTTAAAAATCTAAAAAGATCCTAAAATGAAACACAAATCTGACAATATTTTTAGAAAATGCTGAATTAAAAATCCAATGATTTACATGCTGTTACATGTCATGACTAAACAAAATACAAAATAAAACACAACTAAAAACATGTAGATGAAAGCAGTGATGTGGCTTAGCAGACTCAAGCTAGCTGCCATGTTTATGAATTAGCATGGGCAATTAACTACTAGTTTATGTAAATACTAGGCAGATCTTTGCTGCTCCATACTCCAAGTGAGAAACACTGCTTTACAACACTAGCCACACCACTGTTAAAATTATTTTACACAGCAACAAAAAACAAAACTGCTTTTAAAATAAAATTCAAGCTGAACGGCAAAGTTAGAAGTGAAGAACCAACACAGCTTGATGCAGAACTTACGACAATCTACTTCATCAGAACCATCTGGGCACTCTGGTCGACCATTACAAACTGCCCTCCTATCCACACACTGACTTGTGCCACACTGAAACTGATTCCCAGGACAGCGACGAGCTGAAAATTATGCCATCATCAATCAAAATACCACATCTTGTCTTTTATATTTTTGGGAATTGATAACTGCTTGATCTCCATTCCTTCAGTTGAGCAAGGCACTTCAGTTTCAATTTATGTATAGTTATATACAAAAGGTTTTGCTTTTGGAGTTTTAATTTATATAAGTTAAGCCTAAAATTACTCAAATAATTATTTTGTTTTATTTAATCAGAACAAATATTATAAAGGAAAATGTATCAAAAAAATATATTAGCTATTATTGAAGCAGTGCTCTGTTATTAGTGTGCATAGAGTTTGGGAAAGATACTCTGAAATAAAGTTACATTAACACATTAAATGTAGAACATTTGAGCAATACAAAAATTATAATACAGCACATTAAAAATAAATACATTTATGAAGACATAGCATTAAAAAATTACATCATCACTTTCCATTTTAACACATAAAGGTTTATAGTTTTAAAATACATGTTTCAGCACTCATGTTACAAAGCATTAGTTCAGCAAGCATTGTAAAATTTGAGTTAATATTAAAAAATTAGAATTTGTTTACACAATAGCTTATGAGTTTACAAGCTGTTAACTTCGGCAGTAGTAACACAAGAAATTGAATGACTGCTAAATTTTACACAAGAGAAGTTAAAAATGCTATGCTTTTAGTAATATTTTAACTGTTCAGAATGAAACATAGGCGAGACAATCTTTGCAACAAAGTAAAATTATATTAAAAAGCTGTGAAGGGACTTATAAAAAAAAAAGTAATTTAGTTCAGTGAAAGTTAAGTTTCAGAAATTTTACTGAATATCTGGAGAAGTAAACAAAAAGCAACTTATTTGATTTAGAACTTACGACAGTTTTCTTCATCTGAATTATCTGGGCAATCACGTTGGTTATCACACCTGAACCCAGCATCAATGCACTGATCACCTCGCAAACAACGAAATTGACCAGGCATACATTCATATAATGGAGGTTTAGCTGAAATGGTGGGCAGTGACAAAACAAAACGCCCAGACAGGTGAAGTCCAATAATTAGTTCTTGTTTTTTTCACTTTTATATTTTAATTCTGCGACCCGGAAGTTATTAACTAAATCTAAGTCTTTAAATAGAAAATAGGCATATTTAAAAAAATCAGAGGCTGATTTAATCTGAGAAAGTTGGGATCATTGCTTTTTCTTTTTATGTAAAGACGTTTTTAATCTGTTTACTAGAACTTGCTGAAAAATTAGGGCAATTAATCTAAACTATTTGATGTACATGGGATGGAGGGTCAGGTATGATCTTGACATAAAATTGTATATAAAGAATAAATGTGTTACAATTTATTGTACATAACATTTAATATAGAGTACCAAATGTTTTTAAGTCTTTAATCCATAATGATTACAATTCTAGAAAAAAAACTAAGGTTTATAAAGGAAACCATTGTCTGATAAATATTTTAAGTCATTGTTTCTTTTGGAAAATATGTTATAATTTAAAATTAATCATTTTAAAAATCCATTTTCTTAAACATTTCTAAAAACCACTATTTTAAAAATCAATCTAGATTTTCATTTTTTAAGCTAATTTTTTTTTTTAATCTACAAACCTATAATATTAAAAAAAATTGGTAATTTTTTTGTAAAAAAATTGACAATTTTTTTGTCCCTGAAAATTCAATCTTGAATATTCCCTACCAAAATTTATTTTGTATATTTGCGTATTAGCATAACATTTAACAAAAAAAAACAACCAACACCAACTGTCACTGTTACATTTTAAATATAGCCAAAAACAGCAGTTTGTTATGTTAATTTATACATTATAGATGTTTTTTCTATGCAGTATACATTAGTTTATTCATGAACCTTATCTTAGAAAGACAGTGGTTCAAGATTTAAGTTAAAAGCATAACATTGCTCTAATTCATAACGGTAGGTTATTCTTTACAACAATCAAATTAAAATAAGAAAAACAATTGCTGCCTTACTGCAGATTAGATTGCATTAAATAGACTACATTTATTTAAATTACAAGTATTAATGTATGCTGATTTAAAAATGTTCATGCTTAAATATATATCATGAATCAAAGTAATATTCTTCATTAAGAGATCTTGATCTTGTACACATAAACAGCATCTTGTTCCATAAACCAAATTGCCATTTAAATTCATTTATACTGCTTACATTAACTTGCTTGAAATGTTGTTTTTATCTACCTTTGTTTTTCTCAATTTTTGTTAAGACAATTATCCAAAAAAAAAAATAAACGAAACAAATGATTGTAAATATATGCATCAACAATATAATGTACTTACGACAGTCATCTTCATCAGAACCATCACTGCAATCACTTCTGCCATCACATTTACTTTGACTGTCAATGCACTCTCCACTGTTACATTGGAACTGGCCAGGCCGACAAATAGGTCCTGTCATTTATCAAAAGTTGAAATGATGTACAACCAAAACAAATAAAAAATACTGAATGCTGTAATTGTAATATAAAGAATTAAGTTATTTGTGAGCAGTTTATCCCTACTAAACTTCTGGTGAAAATGAACAATTTGTTTCTAGTAAACCTGTGTTTGTTACATGTAACTATTAATATGAAGTAGAATTCTGTTATAGGCCTATGAGAACAATTTATAACTAGTTAAATACAGTATGAAAACAATGTTAAAACTAGTAAAGTCCAGACAATTACAACGCTGTACTGAAAGACTGGAATAATCTAAAATAGCAGCTACAAAGAAAATACTTTCATCAGATACATCATATTAAAAAATAAAAAGCTTTTATGTCAATGATCAAACTTGTTACAACAGAGCATAAACACTGTGGAGAATTGAGTGACACAATATAAAAAAAAATACTTATTTACTTTTAAGACTTTAACACAGTAGATCTATAACATACCTCTGAATTTTAGATAATTTTTTAAATTCAGAAGAAAAAGATCTAATCCATATGAAAAAGGTTAGAACTTAACAATAACATTGTATCATTCATTATGACCAAGTAATTTATACTGGTTCTTCTAACTTCAAAGGTGAAAAAATAAAAAAAATTAACAATAGTATCAATGAGTAGGCCTGCAGAGGTTAATATTGGCTTAAGACAAAAGACTACAGTACTAAATGACAAAAACAGTGTAGCATTGCAGAGACAACAGTTCTAAATAGCTGGTTCCAGGAAATGGAAATAAAAACTTACTGCAACCAAATTCATCAGAGCCATCCACACAGTCCTGACTTCTATCACACCGGGCATCTATCAGAATGCATTGTCCATTATTGCAGCGGAACTCTCCTAGAGTGCATGCTGGGAAAAATATTTTTAACAATCCTGTTATTAACTTATTAACAACAACTGATACTGATAAGTCAAATTAAGTGGATAAAAAAACTTTTTTATTTCAAAAAGCTAACAATTTAAGTAGAAGTATTATTTTTAAAATCTTCAGGGTTCAAAACAAATATTAGATATATGCATTAATTAAAATTTTAAGCTTAATGAATTGGACAACTAAGAAACAAGTAATTAAAAAAAGTCTAGTGACAATTTTAGCGCAATTTCCTTATGTTATCTAAAAATAGCTCTGTCGTAGCGTTAATCAAGAGCAGGGTTAGTAAAACCATTGGTTAGTTATTAAAACGTCTTTTATTAAAAAAATTTTCATTATTTTACATGTTTTATTTACAATAGAGTAACATGACTAAAAACCATTGCGCGCCTAGCTACCGAACGTGATGTCGCAGCCATTGAACTCGGTCCAAATTTTAATTAATTCAAACAATTTTTGTGACCGAACGAAAGGATATTTTTGAAAACTTTCTTCGGCAATATTGTTCTAAATTATGGCAGGAATCGATTGGTACATGTTTCAAGTCGCTAAGTGGTCTGGTTGCCGAGATATGGGCCAAAAACTGCATTTTTTCTAGGTTTTTTGGCTTTTTCGGGAAATCCATGAAAGAAACCCGGAATTTTTATGGCCTATGTTCATCCTCGTAACTTGCTTAACATAATTGCTTTTGTAACTAGTCATCGATATTGCTTCGTTGAGGAGGAGATACGACTTAAAGCCCGGACACACATTCATACATCCATACATTCATCCATCCATTCCCAGAAATGACGAGTTAATAAACGCAATTCTCCAGAATGGAAATTGCGCTAAAAATTGAGTTTTTGCATTGTAATGAAAGCCTTAATATTCATTGAGGTGCATAGTTATTCCATGCTAATTTAAAAAAAAGTTTTTCTTGATGTTGTGAAGTAGTGCAGTGGTGTAGTAGTGGAAATTTGGTTAATGTTTTATTTCCTTTTACTTTTTACAGCTTATAAATAAATTGTTTTATTTCAGGGTCTTTTTAATTTAACATCTTTTTCCATTTCTCCATTTTCTCATAAATCAAAAAGCTGTCTAATAATTGCTAAAATCTGTTTGGGGTTATTTACAATGCATTATATTTCAAGTTTCTCAATAAAGGGTATTGGAGTTGGTAAAAGAAAAACTTTGAAATACGAAATATCTTAAAGCTTACTGCAGTTAAATTCATCAGAGCTGTCAGGACACTGAGCACTGCGGTCACATTTATGTCGTCTATCAACACATGTGCCATCTAGGCACTCAAACTGATTTCTCCTACAGCGTTCTGAAACAAGAAAATTGTTAAATTAATAGCATATATACATATATATATATATATATATATATATATATATATATATATATATATATATATATATATATATATATACACACTAGCTATAATGTATGCTACTATTCTTACATTGTTACAATAATTCTTACACTTACATTTATATTTGATTGTACTCTACCACTGTTGTAATCATTATAACACTAACATTACTTCTATTCTACAATTCTTATTACTTTTTGTTATTAAGTATATGATAGAACAAAAGAATGATGAGAAACTGAAAATCAGCCAAACATGTTAGAAATAGTTGACTGGAAGTTTTGCAGTAAACTAGTAATGGATTATCAAAAACAAGTAACCAGCCAAATACAAACTAATGCTTATTTAGCAGTTGTTAACCGTAAAATAAAAGAAACCTAATAATTTATACCTACTTCTTATCTATTGTACAAGTCAAAGTTTATTTTACCTTCAGTAAATAAGTAGGGAAATTTAAGATACTGTTAAAACATGTAAGGAATAAAAAAATCTAAGTTAAGCTCTTACAAGAAGTGAACTTTTCATCAGGCGTTGTAAAGTAATGTTTTAACTCTTTAAGTAAGATTGGAATGACACTCTTAGTGATCAGCCCCCAAGCCTATAACAACACTGCCAGCATTCAAAAATTTTTGCTTTATTACTGTTATTTTGCCAAATGTAAGTTTTGCCATGTGTTTGATTTTGTACATTATAGACATTTAAAAAAAAACTACACTTGATAAACAGCATTTTTTAACACAGTGGAACACCATTCTGATGCCACATTTAACAGTTACATTGTTGCATTAAATATTTAACCAAAATAAGGGTATTTATGCAAATACTAATCCAATCCATGACTTTGGTAAAAAAAAATGTTTTGTATTAAAAGATATTACAAAAATGTTTTTGTATTTATCAATAATTCTGATCAAAGAGTTAAAACTTCTGTAGTTTTCTATTTCATATAGTGGTCATATAGTTTTTTAATGCAAAAGCCCATTGTGAAGCAAGTTAAAACTTCACTTACCACAGTTGAGCTCATCACTCCCATCCGTACAGTCCACTCGTCTATCACATTGTTGAGACTTCAATAAACATGTTCCATCATTGCACAAAAATCCGCTGCAAGCTAAAATTGTACAAAAAATGGTAGTCTTATTAATAAGAAGTGTACTTTTTAATACATAAATTCTATTACTTTGATCAACTAGCACCTGCTTTTATCATTATCTATATATATAATTCTCTTCATGGGGACCATAGAAGACACCACGCAGCTTAGCCACCACCCTCATCCCCACCTGTCAGGTGAGCTGTGGTTCACCCCGAATGTTTACAATCATAGAGACGGGTCGGCTATTAGGGGTAGGGGCAGATAATTTAGATTTTAATTCGCTGAAGGGGTGGGGTGGGGAGGGAGGGTGATGATAATCGTCTTTACCAGCTACTGATAGTGTTTTAAAGCAAAATATTTTCAGTTGCAGCATTGATAGTGAATTATGAATTACTGAAAAGTAGAAAATAAAACAACTAAACAGCTTACGGCACGGGTCAGCTCATCATATATATTTTTCAAAAGTAAACGCCTCAGCAAACTAGCAGGCCCATACATATATACGTGTCTATATACCCAGTAAAATCTTATATTTGAACAACACTTACGGCAATCAATTTCATCACTGCCATCTTCACAATGCGATTTGCCGTCACACCTCAAGTGGTCTGGGATACACTCACCATTACCAACGCAAGCAAACTCAGTAGGAGTACATGCTGCCAGTAGACAAACATGAAGAAAAAATATTTATTAAATCATTTTCAACTTCTGCAATAATTACTTATTTATCATAATGAGTTGTAGATCCACAAAATTTACAAATTAAAGTATTTTAATGCTCATTTACCAACCCTGTCCTGTAACTACAATAAAAACAACATCTGTATTGTTACGCTTGACCTCTCATCCAACAAACAGGTTTGTAGGCAATGTTTATTTTGCTTGTTCTTTTTATCTTTACACAACACGCCCACTAGCCTAGCCACTACCAACTAACCCAGTTGCAATCATTCACTACAGCTTTTATACCTGCATTTGACCTTGGGATAACAATACAAACACACCGGGGCTAACTACACACTAGGGTAAACTCAGCTCACACACGCACTCTTCCCTAAGTTCTAGACTATACTAACCTATTTCTATCTAACCTACAAATGACATGTAACATGTGTCGCTACCAAAGCAGTACATGTTTAAAAGTTTACTTACGACAATTCTGTTCATCTGAACTGTCAGAGCAGTCATCAATTTTGTTACATCGACTCACAGAGCTGACACACTCACCATTACTACAGGTCCACTGGTTGGGGCTACATTTTATGACTAAAAAAAAATTTGAATTATATTTATTTACATTAAACCCAAAAAGAAAGTATATTGATAAGTCCTTTTCACATATTAATATTATATTTATCATTTTGACATTGCTTTATATATTTATGTGTTCCATTTGTATTTCTATACTGATTTTTAATTTTTACTTGAATTGGTGTAACAACACAGTTTAATTTTAAGGTGAATGAATTTCTCTAAGCCTTTATTAGAACTGAGATTAATTAAGTTTTCAACTGAAAATGAAATAGCTCATAATAAAGTAGAGCTACTTGTACATTGGATCAATTAAGAGCAAAAATACATACCGCAACCAATTTCATCAGAGCCATCAGAACAGTCAGGCATAGAGTCACACATCAAAGTGACAGGAATACATTCACCATCAGCACAACGGAAATCATCTAAACCGCATGTTGCTGCAGGAAAAATATTTTGTTGTTGTCTAAGAACATTGTTATTATTGTTAGGGGTAAGTATTATAAAGGGAGCAGGGTTATCAAGTTCATAGCTTAAAATAGCAATATTAACATAAAATTGTTATTTGGAAGTGCTTATTTCCGTCAACTGTTGACTAAATAAACAATGTGCTTATTTTGATTACCAACGAGCTTTAGCTTCTATTTATGGGCAAACAAATTTTAAGATAATGATATATTTTTGACGTGGTTCACATGTTAGCATGGCTGAATGGAACATATGGCAGCTATCAAGAATATAGATGTGGTGTTTTTTTAATAGTGCAAATGATATGAATAATAAAAATTTTAATGCATTTTATAATAGGAAAGGGTTAAGGCTAGGGGTAAGTCTAGGGTTAGGGTTAAGGATAAAGTTAGGGTTAGATATTGTGAGGCAAATGTATCATATTGTAAGGGTAGGCCTACAAGAGTATGTGAGTTGTTGAAGTATATTGTGTTAATAAAGAATGTTGTGACTTTGTAACGAGGTATGTGAGGATACAACATTTTGTGGAGACAGGAAAAAAGTTTGTAAGTAAAGTCTTTCTCCATCTTGATGTGTTAGGGAGAGGAAGGTTTTGTCTTGTTGTTGTATACAATGGTCGTTGTTTTGTGTGAACATATAGTCATGTCTCGTCCATCTTCAAGTTCAGAATAAAGCTAGAATCAATCAATGTCTTATTATTTGTCAATTATTTGTATTGAATTGTGAAACCATTACAAAGTATATATTTCTCAAGATTTAGTCAAGAAAGAATAAGTAAATTTAACTATAGTGAAATGGTGATAAATGATAGAACTTTAGAATCCTTATTGCACGTCTGTGATATTGGATAAATGAGATCCTAGTTGTAACATTAGGGTTAGGACTAGTATCATAAAATTAAAATGATTTCTACAAGAGCAAAGATTAAGAATTTAAACTTAAATGAAATAAGTAGCTTTTTTAAGCATCTACTTAAAGAGAATATAAGCACAGTGTTTAATGCCTCAAAAGCCCATTGACAGAAATAAACACAATCTTTATTTTCCTAAAAGCCCACTGACGAAAATAAACATGCTATTTATTTCATCTAACATCGACAGAAATATGCAAGGCCAAACGTAGATACAGAAAATAAGCCTAGTAAAGACAGACTAGTTATAGCCAAATGGGATCCCAACCCTACTCCAAGTGGCACAGAATCACAGGGACTACATGCATCAGGTCAGAAGTGTAAACACTAAGACCAGTCCTAAAAAAAATACAGCAGCAGCTGATCATCAACTTTCATAGCCTATACTTTCAACACTTCTTTGTTTAGTAGATTGTTTTTAGAATTTCCTCGCAGTCAAGACAGCTTGGGGTCGATACATGACTTATATTGTGACAGTAAAAATCACAGTCCTTTCAAATGTCAAGGTCACAAAAGCTTCTGCCCCCATTCTGTGTGCTGAAGGGTTTGTGTGGTTAGCAGAAAATGTGGTTGCTGGTGATTTGCTTCTTTCTATGCTATGGCATCCATTCAGCCTTAGGGAATTCAGACATAATATGGTAGTGTAGTAGTTTGTGGCAGTGTATCATCATGATATGATCAGATGAATGTCTCTCCTATAGCCTGCATTTGACACTGCCATCTCACCATGCCTTGCTTAATCCCACAACTTTGATGTACCTTCTAATTTCATATAGAGTTCTAACATTCCAATTTTTGCTTGGGAGCAAGGAATTTTGTTAGCACGCTAGCTCTCTGATTATACATATTATTATTATTATCATTATTATTATTATTATTATTATCCTCACCGCAGCCTTTCTCATCTGAACCATCCAAGCAATCATTGACATTATCACACTGTCTGCTACTCTCAATGCAGATTCCGTTGTCACATCTAAACAGGTTTGCAGGGCATGACGGTGGAAATGTTGACACAATATTGTCTGAGACAAGAGTTTATTTTTAAATTAATACAAACATTCTATTACTAAATTTTACATTCTATTACTTAACCTTTAGGTGTAATGGCCAGCTACAATTTTTGTAAACAAAGAAAGATTTAAGTTTAATGTCAATCTATATTAAAAACTGAAAAAAAAATAATCAGTAACCTACCATATGTATTTTAGGAAAAGTAAAATAAATAGTTAGTTTATAAAATGGTAAACACTTTCAAATGTTGAATCAAGCAAAAACAATTTTTTAAATAGTCAGAGGCAATTACATTTTAAAATTACTTGCTGATCACAAATTTAACTTTAGGCCTAATATTAGGTATTTTAATGTACCATTCTATAATATAAGAAATGTTCTAACTGATCTAGATAGATCTTGGCTTAATCACAACAAAACTACCAAATTTATCACGACACCTCAAATATTAAGAAAGTTATGGAATTTATAATCCATTGTGTGTCAAATTTAAATGACCAAATGCAACCATGTTGGATGCTCTGTATAGCCTTAAGTTATTAAGTAAAAGTCCATAATTGAACAAATTGAAAAATGTGTAGGTCTATTCAATCAACCACGCATGCAAGAAAGAAAAGTGATTTTTTATACCACAGGAAAGAAAATTAAATTAATAAAGTATGTAATACTACAGCAGTAGATAATTTATTTGAAGCATCTATCTATGTTACAACACAGATTTATGTCTATTTATGTCTGTTGGTCATTAAACCTAGCAATATGATGTTTTGTCACTTAAATTTAAATCCTTTTAAATTTTTATAAAATATCTCTCTATGTGTAAAAAACATATATACTAGTAGAATAAGCTCCATCTTGCAGAAACTTAATTTAAACTAAACCTCTACAACCTCAGAATAAGTCAATGTAACTTGTATGTCATAGATGAAGCAAGGACAATAGTTTTTAATGTTTGCTAATAGGGTGAATATAGGGTAAATTCTAATTTGTCACGGATCTATGTTTTTGCAAGAATATGGGCCTACAGCTTATAAAATTTTGTTTTGTTTATAATATTCTAACTATAAGCGGGAAAATTATGTTGAAGGTGGGGGCAAAATATTTATGCACTAATATAAAACATGATTGCCTTTATGAAAGTAAGTCAACAACTAATGTAATTATGTAAATTATGTAATCTTACAATATAAACTAAGAGCTCCTGATATAGAATTAGAAAAACATATTTCAATACAATTAATTATAGCTCTATTTAAAAAACCTTTCCAATTGAAACTTTTTTGTACAAGTAAATGCGATAATTTTCACGGCCTAGAGTTTTTTAGCAAAGGACTGCATACAGGTCAAAGAGCACTGTTGTAAAAATGACCGGCCGAAATAATGATGCATTTTGAGTAGTGTATTTAAAGTCATCTTTGACATAATTTGGAGGCAATGCTTCACCAAGCCTTTACGGGGATGAAAATACATCTATTATGGCAGGATAGCACAGAGAGTTGGTGTGACCACATCAATGGTTTTTAAAAAATTTAAGCTAAATATTCTTGATCATTAAGAATACCTACTATTATCATGGACAGTATATATTAGGAGTTCCCTAAAAATTTGCAACCAGCAGCTCGACTAATTATTAATCTGCCAATGTAAGGACAACACCATAATCTAAATTAAACTAATCTTGATACTTTATAATGAAGAACATAGTATTTTTTGTGGAGAAAGCTAGTAAAAAAAATATTTTTTTTCAAACTTACCACAATTAAACTCATCTGATCCATCTTCACAATCTGGGTATGCATCACAGAGGGAACCGTTGACCACACAGCCACCATCCTGACATTTAAACTCCCCAGGTTTGCAAGCTGTAAAAAAAATTATGTTAACTGTCAAAAAACTAGTCATCAACATTGTAGAGTGGAAAAAGTAGGACCATTTAAAAAATGACAACAGCTGAAATACATTACTAAACACAAGAAAAAACTTTTCATCTTTATTATTAGTCTTACCATCTACTTTGTAACTATTCATGAACTTTCACTGATTATATTATATTATGATTTCATATTGTAACAAAATTAATACATAAATTAATAAACAATTATCAATGTTACACTAATTTTTTACATCCCAATTTTTAAATGGAAAAAAAAAAGAAATGAAACAAAAAGCATGAGAATAGTATCTCAACAGTAGAAACAGACTTCTAAGACTATACAAGTTTAAATAGAGCCACACTTAAAAAGGTGTGATACTTTTCTTAATTAAAATAGCATGCAGAAGAAGAAAGGAAACACAAGTAGAGGAAGAAATAAGTATGGAAAACCTCAGAGTATGTTTGTTAACTTGATCTCACATTACTATAATTCTCATTGTTCTGCCATTGCCACATGATTATTTAAAGCCAGTAATTTGTCTAAAAAGCCTATCATGATGGGTCAACCAAAAAAAAGTTGTTACCCCCAGATTAATTATTCCCCCCATTGCCCAAAAAACTGGAGTTGGAAATTTTTCATTCCCATTACCAGTGGATTACTAATCAAGACTATATGTAATAGTTAGGAATAGTTATAGGGTTAGGGGTAGTGATAGGGAGCTGAATAAGAAGATGGGTAGGGCTAGGTATAATACATATTCTCAAGAGAAAGCGGCAATTACTGAGAGGGTAGTTGATTTGTAAAGGTAATTGTTACGGGTCATTTGAGGTCAGGTTAGAATAGGTTAGAATAGTCATAAACGATTGTAGCCAGAGAGCGCAAAGGGTAGACTAAATTTTTTTTTAATTTTTTTTTTTTAATTTCAATACTTTTATTCAGTCTCAATTCTTTACACATAACAGAACAGCCCTCGTCCTAACCGCTACCAACTAACCGCCAACCCACTACAATCGTTCACTCGCCCTTTTATACCGGCATTCAACCTTGGGATTACAAGACATAAACACACCAGGGTTACTACACAGTAGGGTGAACTCAACTCACACACGCACTCCCCCCCTAAGTTCGAGACTATTCTAACCTATTCTAACCTGACCTCAAATGACCCGTAACAGTAATGCTAGATGATCATTGCCTGGAGGTAACTGACAAGGGCATGATGCCATAAATCTGAACTGTAATTAGAGTTCATGACTGGATGTCTAAGAAATTTGCTATGTAGCTACTGTGTATAACCAGCAGGTGCAGCCCTTACAAAAAACAATCTGACGTTATTTTATTTTTCTAAAAGATTGTCATAAGGACTAGAATTTTGCCAACAATATCTTATTAGGTTTTCCAAACTGTTTCAGAAGAAACTGTACATCGAATACACAATTTCACCAAACACTGAGAAAAGTGAACATTAAAAAGGAGAAAAAAAGAAAAAGTACAAAGAAAAAATATATCAAGATTTCCATTATTCTGGTGTATATCAATAATGGATAAAGTTGACAGTTAACTACAATGTAGTGTAATCATTGTTAAGTAAATATAAACTTATACTTAAAGCATTTATTTTATATTATTATTTTATTTACAGTTTGCATTTTAAATATTACATTTTACCATATGCTCAATTTAAAATGTAAACATTTTTTTTAAGAAAGCAGAAAAATAGATATAAAGTATAAAGAGTTAAGTAGAAATTTAAAAAGCAATATAACAGTCCAGTACTCAACAGTTAAACCAATCTTAAAAAATACAACATGGTAGTTTTACCTGAAGTAAACAAGAACAAGAGAATTTACTTTCTATGAAAATTACAGACTTCACTCATGGAAAAAAAATAATTTTGAACTATTATTTTACTAAGATGGTATGGACATCAAACAGCCTGTCAAAAACAATCATGCAGGGCATGGTGACAGGTAGGAAAAGATGAACAAAGCAAGGACATAATTGGATGGAGGACATAACTGAGTGAACTGGACTGTCTGTAGCAGAATTACTTAAAACAGAAGAAGACAAAGAAAGATAACAAAATATTACTAAAAACAATTGTAGTACCTCATTGACACCCCCCCCCCCCCCCCCCCATTGATTATTTTTTTAATTTATAAAACTTTAAAATAAAGTAAAAAATGGGTAAATGTTTTTAACAAAACTAATTATGATAATTACCATTATACCCTAAATGAGCTCAACATTAATTATTATGAAAAGTCCGTATGTAAACATCATTTTCATTAAAAAAAAATACTATAGCACATGCTAATGTAGTAAACAGAGGCCAAAAGCAGAGCACCATCAAATGCCAGCAAACAAAGTTTTCTTCAAAGTCAAACTTACGACAGTCTAATTCATCAGTCCCATCACTACAATGTCTTTTTTTGTCACAGCGTTGTGCTATGGGAATGCATTTCCCATGTTCACAGCGGAACTCATCAGATCGACAAGGTACCGAAGCTTTGTGCAACAAAGTAAGTAATGCATGCTGTATTATATACTTTAAAATCAACTTTCCATTTATACTCATCCTATAGAAGTTATTTAAGGTAGGTAATTTAAAGAAATGTCATACTTTATTAAGTCATACACTTAATAAGATTCATAATCACCATTTTTTTATTTTTAAATAGACTTTTTAAATGTTTTGCTTCTATAAATAATATTTTTAACTTACTACCACTCAATAATATTGGGATTGATAAAAAAAAAAAACTTTAAATTCTTTTGGATGTACCCGTTAAACTTTAGAATGAGCATAAATCTAGTATGTTAAAAAGTTTTAGCTTAAAAAAATTATACCATCAAATAATCTTTTAATATTTGTTGTGTATGAAACTAACAAGTTTTTGCTAAACACCATGATACTGAACAAGACTTAGGAACAATGAAGGTACTTAATTTTTCATAGTAAATTTTCTCCAAATTTTTTTTTGGAGGAAAACATTATAAAATGGTTCTGAATTAATTAAAAACATTAACTTTACATATAGGCAATATAATAATCTTATGCTCAGATGTCATTACCCAATGATTTTGAGGTAACTAATTATTTATAATTTATAAATATAACATTATATTTGATCAAAAACACAAATTTAAAAGATTATTGTACATAATTCCATAATGAATTAAGTTTTTTAATTTCAATTATGAAATTATTAATGTTAACATTTTTAGTAGAGTTGCCCTATTAAATAAAAGTTTAAGTAATTTGTGTTGGACAAAAATGGTGGACTTACTGATTGGACTAGTGTTAGCTATGGTAAGCTATGGTAACATGCCTCAAAGCTTAACTAGTTGTGAGTGAACTGTATATTAAAATTATAAAATATAAAATGTGCAATGGCTAGTATGATTTAACAGGGTTGTCTTGGGAGATTGCAAAATTAATAGCCGGGGATCGGAGGAAATGGAAGGAAATGGTAGGGGCCCTATGTTCCATAAGGAGCTAAGAGGACTAAGTCAAGTCAAGGCTAGTATGATATATAACAGTACAACATTACTGTATGGAGAAAGTCGCTTATAACTAATTATAGTTTATAAAGTGACCTAGGTATAGTGCCATTCAGTTCTATAAAAATAATAATAAAGTAGCAACATACAAGGACAGTTATATTCATCTTCTCCCCTTGAACAGTCAGCTTTGCTGTCACATCGCAGAGAGTTACTGATACACTTGCCGTCATAGCAGAGGTATTCCAAGCAAGCTTCAAGGGTTAAATGACAAGTTATTAGCCTCCATCATACCATGTGGGTGGAATCCACCCATTTTGTGTTTCAAATTTCTGCCATTAGCATATTATTTGGTCAAGTCTATCACGCTTTAGTTTATGTCTTATATACACAGCAGACTGGACTAATTCTAAAATGGATTTCCATTAGAATTGAAAAATAGCCATCAGTACAGCTTGAAAGAACTGTACAATGGATAACACTCGGTAGAAATGAAGAAAATATATAACTTTAAAATCTACATGAACATTTTAACATTCAGCATGTTACGCTTAAAATAACAAATTTCTTTGGCCTCTTACAAGAGTAACTGTTCTAGAAATTTGGGCTAAAATATAATGTCACTTTTTCAGCTTGCTGTACAATGAGAAGATTTGTCTTGGGCCACTTGTGATATGATGACAAGGAAAAAGGGCATGAAGAAAGGCCTGGGTTGAATTAGTAGTGATCTTCTTCTTTGTTCTTAATTCTAGTAGTGGAAGGGATTCCCTCCAACACAATTAAGTATTACATTTCAACTTGTTATGCGCCATTGACTCTGATTTCAGCCTGCTTTTCTTTTTGGATTTGCTTCCATAGCCTTTGTCCAAACAAGAACAAACTACACAGCAGCAGTTGTTATATTTTGGAGTTGTCTCTCCTAGAAGAGTTTCTGTCCCCAGCTATCAAGCCTCATCTGCTAGAGGGTTTGAACTCGATACCTTTCAGTTTAGCAACCATGAGCTTCACCAACTTGACCATGCTGACCCACACACATTGTTATAAATAAGCACACTTTTTAAAGTGATTCTCCATCAGCTTCTAAAAAAAGTAAATCTTGCTTAAATTTCACAGAGAGTGAATCCCCACCAATGTAGCGATCAATGTAGTAGTTTCCAACAAATCTCAGCTCAAACTTGATCCCAGTACTAGTATTGCCATTCATCAGCATGGTTTTGAAAATTTTTGTATTGAAATAGGTACTCTTTCACAAAACAGCTACCCAGCAGAAAGAGTTAGCTTCACAAATTGTTGTCCATTTACCCTGTTGTCACAAAAAAACCTTACCCTCCAAGCTTAAAGTAATGTCACAATTTAAAATTCCAATCCCCGACCTACATCTATGCAGAACTAATAATCAAGGCGATGTTAATTAAATAATTTATAGTGTTGTCCATAAATGAGGTATTGCTATTTTATACTCTACTATCAAGGTGTTATGGCCAGACCATACCCCTAAAACAATATAATAAAGTTCCAATTCCAAATATCCCCCTTAGTTAATTATAATGAAAATTAAAGCCATATTGCTATGATTATTTTTAAGAAATACAAAAAATACTTGTCATATTTCTTAAGCTTCTCCCCCCCCCCCCTCTCATTGCTCATTGTCACAAAAACCACATACTTCCCTTCTGTATGTGACATCATTAATGGACAACTGTTATGCATGCTAGTATGATGCATGTATAGGTATATTTAAATTATCCCATAAGAGACTAAATCAGATACTATTTGTAGGGAATGAATTTTTCTTTTAAATGTAAACCACCAACCACTACTGCATTAAAGATAGAAAAAGAGATAAAAGCATAGTGTTTATTTATACCGCTACATGATGCCATGCTCATTTTAAAATCAAGGTATTGTAACAAATAGACAACTGAAGCTAGTTAAAACCAGGTGCTGTTAAAATAAAATATCTGCCCACCAGTGTCTGATAAGATGTGCAAAGGGAAACTGTGCACACAAAAGTGCACATAGGTCTTTTCGTTTTCTTAAATAAGGGACTTATAGACATTACCAAAGAGTAACTTGTACATTTTAGCATAATAAAACATATTTCCATGAAATATGACAAAATTAGAGTGTATTAGTATCGCTAGTTTGTATTTGCGTATTTTTCTGTCAGCTCAGTTTTCGGTTGCGAAGTTTTCCAATTTTTCTGAGAACCCTGCCCACCAAGCTGCACCTCTAAATTAGGATTAAAAAAAAAGTTGCCCTTTCAGATCAGAGGATCAAGTAGGGCACGGGGAGTCAACTTCATTGGTTTCTGTGACCTCGAAATTTGAAGGGATAGTGCGCTCAATTCTAAGCCTAGCTTCCGTTACTTTTCCTAACCTGAGTTAATTAGGCTAAATCACCAATTTTAGATAGTTGGACTCAGGGATGACCAAAAGATTTAAGTCCAATAACCGAGCTTAAGACTTCCAGGGTTGTAATTTAATTACCTACGGCAGTTTGGGGATCTATAGGCCTACATGTATAAATGATGCTCTTTTCATTTTAAAACATTAAATTTTAATCATTCATTTTGTATTGTAACTGTTGATAATGTTCAGTATAAATGTGTTGTATATGTGTGTGATGTTTCTGCTCATGTGATTAGAAAAAATTCAGCAAACGAGCATACTTAAAAATAAATAAAACAAAAAAAAATCATTATAAGGAAATGGAAATGTTAAATATACCACACAAAAACTGCTAACATTTTAGACAAAAAGAATCTCTTTTAAATTAACTTAAATTACCTGGGCTACAATCGATCTCATCACTGCCATCTGCACAGTCAATTTCTTGATTACATTTGTATTGTAGTGGTATACACCTGGTCTCTCCTGATGAACACTGAAACTGATCCTCCGAACAATCTTCTGGAAAAGCACAAAAATTAAAGTATATAATAATTAAGGTACACATTTTTTGTCTTCCCAAAATATCTTTTTGTTGGAATAGGCCTACTTAAAAAACAAGAAAAAGAATATTCTGTTTTATATATAAAAAGGAAATAGCTAAAATAATATGCTCATGTAAGAATAAAAAGCTTTTTAAGGACTGAGAATACAGGTTATGATTTATGGGATGGTGCAAGCAGATTTACTGAACTTATTTATGAATTATTTTACAAACAATAAGAAATAGGCCTAGTTGAGTCAGTATTTTAAAAAAGAAAAATATGAATGTCTACTCAAACACATAGCAGTTTGCAAATAGAAACATTGAAACAAACAAAAACAAAACAAACATAAATGTGCAAAGATAAAATACATATGCCTATGGAACGGGTAAACTAAAAAAAATACAAAAACATGAACATGAAAAGAAACATGCATGTATCTCAAAATATGATCTGGAACTGTTAAATACTACATGAACAGCATACATTTAAAATATAAAAACTTCTCATAAGGAAACTATAAATACCTAAAACACAATCCATTTCATCACTGCCATCAGCACAGTCATTTCGGCCATTGCATTTGTCTCTTAATGGTACACACTGGAACTCTTTTGATAAACACTGAAACTCGAAATCTCTGCATATTTCTGAAAAAAAAAAAAATAAATAATTAAGGCCTGAAATATTAAATCTTTTCAAATGGTCTTTGTGTTGAAATGATTTGATATAAGGAAAACATTATTTTATTTTATACAAAATGAAGGCAGATTCTTAATGTCGATGAAGGATACATCTACTAGAAGAAGATGGTGATGTAATTATAGTTTTCAAAGGTCACGGTAAACAAGTAGTGTTTTATGGGAGTGATTTGAGTTAATAGGGAGGGATGGATAAGTGCTTGGAAAGCTGCAGACATTTTACCACTATATATAGCATATCTTAGTAAGAAAATAAAAAATACTAATAAAAGTAAATTTTCATATTGTTATAGTAAAGTTTTTTTTACTCCAAATAGTTAATTAAAAATGTTTACAGTGTATCCACTGTTCCAAAAGTGAGTATTTTCATTTAGTACATTGTTAAAACTTAGAAAAGCTTTCTGAGAATCAGAAGATAAATAAATTTAAAGCCTATAATAGTTCTACTGTAAAATGTGCTAGCTATACAAAACAAGGTAATTAAAAAGTCTAGTGACAATTTTAGCGCAATTTCCTTATGTTATCTAAAAATAGCTCTGTCGTAGCGTAAATCAAAAGCAGGGTTAGTAAAACCATTGGTTAGTTATTAAAACGTTTTTTATTAATTTTTTTTCAGTATTTTACATGTTTTATTTACAATAGAGTTACATGACTAAAAACCATTGTGCGCCTACTGAACATGATGGCGCAGCCATGGAACGCTATGGCGCAGCTATTGAACGTGATGACGCGTGTGGTGTGGTTGGAAAAAATGCCTACTAATTCGGTCAAAATTTTAATTAATTCAAAAAAATTTTTGTGACCGAACTAAAGGATATTTTTGAAAACTTTCTTAGGCAATATTGTTCTAAATTATGGCAGGAATCGATTGGTACATGTTTCAAGTCGCTAAGTGGTCTGGTTGCCGAGATATGGGCCAAAAACTGCTTTTTTCCGAGGTTTTTTGGCTTTTCCGGGAAATCCATGAAAGAAACCCGGAATTTTTATGGCCTATGCTCATCCTCGTAACTTGCTTAACATATTTGCTTTTGGAACTAGTCCTCGATATTGCTTCGTTGAGGAGGAGATACGACTTAAAGCTGCGGACACACATTCATCCATCCATCCATCCATTCATCCATCCAGAAATGACGGGTTAATAAACGCAATTCTCCAGAATGGAAATTGCGCTAAAAATTAGGTAGGTGTTAACACTTTTAAAGGATCTTAGAGTTAACAATTAAGGAAGCAAAGTTGGAGTTAATACCTAAGGAAGTAAGCATGGAATTTAACAATAAAGGAAGTAAAGTTAGATTTGTTTTTACAACCTCTGCATGAATGGGATGATAACCTTAAGAGTTTTGCTGAAGTAGCCATGGTGTACCAACAAAGTGATGAGTTTTGAATTTCAAAATTCAAGAAAGAATTTTACGAAACAAAGCTATTTACGTAAGCCTATTGTTGCCATATTTTTGTTTGAAACTGAATATTTTTGCTTTGTTTGAATAAAATCTTCTACTACTAGTTGGAAGCACACAACTGTTAACTTGAAAGTCTCGAGTTTGAATCCCGAACTTGAGACCATAGAAAATCTTTGAATCCACTCAATTCTGATAGGTAACTGACTCAGGTAAAGACAGCTGAAAGTGGAACTGACCACACTATCTCTTTTTATTCAGAGGTCACATGATGAGATGATACTTGGTCTGCTTTATTAATCCAATGAAATCTATAGAAAACTAATTTCTGCTGTTAATGCTGTTAACTTACTACATCCATGAGTTTCATCCAATCCATCTGGACAATGGGGGGTCCCATCACAAATAAAAATACGAGCAACACAGCTCCCATCAGTACACCGGAACCTTCCTTCAAGGCAAGGGTCAGTTGGGGTTGTAGGTCTGGTTGCAGGTCTGGTTGCAGGTCTGGTAGTTGCACCAACAGTAACAGCAGAGACAGACACTTCTTCAAAAATATTAAGAAAATACGAAATGTATATGTTTCATGTTTGATTAGTAGTTTTCAAAGTGATTCACCAGTGTTTCTTTCAGGCATCTATTTTACAATTAAGTTATATTTTTAAAGATGTCTCTAACAATATTTATGTCACCAGAATTACACCAGCTGATCAGTACAAAGACTGAATAATGTGCATTAATTATTTTAACAACCCAAATTAAGATATGTTCAGTGGTTTTAATTAATTTGAACACAACAGAAAAACATACCACAGCCCTGTTCATCAATGCCATTGTCGCAATCTTCTTGTTTGTCACACTTGTAAGCAGCTTCAATGCAAAAGCCATTTCCACAGTCAAATTCATTCTGCTCGCATGAATATGCTAATGAATCTAAAATGACACAAAAATAATAATTTTGAAACATCATAAAGTAAAAAAAACATCAGAGATGTTACCATTTTTTTCAAAAAGTTAACAATTTTGAAACTTCACATGAATAAATTGGGTCCAAAAGAAGACTGTGATATGCATGCAACAGTAGTGAATAAAAATTATACAAGAAAATTGTATAGATTCACTTGGGAATGTCTGCAGATACAGTGGTTCAGATTATATTTGTTTAAAATTCTACATGAATTGATTCCTAAGAGGCAAAACAAATTAAAATTAATAAGTAGTATAATTTTATTAAAGTAATTACAGTAAAAAGAATCCAAAAGTTGGTAAAACTACTCACCGTCATAGTCCATGATTGCTCTAATGGAGAATGTTGCATTGGTGGACTGTACGTCGTAATTGTTGAGGTTGATTTTTTTCCCCTGTCCAATGTTTTCATTATAAAGCTGCAGGAGAAAGTGGCAGTTATTTCATTGAAAAAATCAAGTTTCATACAGGAGAAAAGAAAGCCAGCCTAAATAATCCTGGAGAAGGTGGCAGTTATTTCATTGAAAAAATCAAGTTTCATACAGGAGAAAAGAAAGCCAGCCTAAATAATCCTGGAGAAAGTGGCAGTTATTTCATTGAAAAAATCAAGTTTCATACAGGAGAAAAGAAAGCCAGCCTAAATAATCCTGGAGAAGGTGGCAGTTATTTCATTGAAAAAATCAAGTTTCATACAGGAGAAAAGAAAGCCAGCCTAAATAATCCTGGAGAAGGTGGCAGTTATTTCATTGAAAAAATCAAGTTTCATACAGGAGAAAAGAAAGCCAGCCTAAATAATCCTGGAGAAAGTGGCAGTTATTTCATTGAAAAAATCAAGTTTCATACAGGAGAAAAGAAAGCCAGCCTAAATAATCCTGGAGAAGGTGGCAGTTATTTCATTGAAAAAATCAAGTTTCATACAGGAGAAAAGTAAGCCAGCCTAAATAATCCTGGAGAAGGACTGTGAAGGGAGAAGCAAGGGCTGTAGGGCTTCCGTGGGCTCAACTTAAAAGAGCAGCCCAAAGCAGAGTCCAGTGGAGAGATGCAGCCCTTTGCTCATTAGGGACCTCAAAGGATTAAGTCAACACTAGCTTTATAAAATGAAATAAAATAAACTTTTGGTAAGTTGCAGATTGGCATATGGTTAACATTTATGTCTTATGTTTTCATTAGTAGCATATCATTGATATGCATTATGTTAATATGTATCACTGTTTGAAAAGGTTAAGAATAAAAATGTTTTAGGTGACAAAATACAGCTCTTTTTCTGAAATATTACAACCTTTACTAAGAGAAATATACATGATACATTTGTTTTAAAGTAATATAAGAAATACAAAAAAACATACTACTTTTTTAACTATTGAGAAAAAAATGCAAAGTAGCTCTTCACAAAAAAACTATTGCTGGCTCCTGAACTAGTAGAATAACAGTCAGAGGTCATGTCATTATCTTAATTACAAAAGATAAAAACAAAAAACTTAACAAACTCACATTAGCATAATATGTCTGATAGAGTTCCGTTGACATGACAGCATCATCCTCAAGCCTAGCCTGAGCAATAACATTTTGAGGTGCACTCTCAGGATAGAAGATGCCAATGAAGTCACCACGCTTAACCTGGATTGGCTCACTGGCCTCCACTTGATTTTGACCCTGCTGGCCTGAGGGCAGCGCAGTTCTTTTTACCAGGAGAAACTCATCGTTCACCTGTCTCCAGACTCCAACATAAGCAGTGCCTAAGTAAAGAAGAGACTGGTTATTACCTTATGCAGAACAAAGTAGATAATTACATAATAATTTTTTAAACAATCACCAACTTTCCTAAATAGAGGTATAAAATAGTTATAAACTTTAAAGATTTGTTTTAGAGTGATTTTTTATTGAATCTAAAAAGAACTAATTAAAAAATGAGAATTAAACTAAGAAAAATTAAGAACAATTTTTAAAACTAAAATAAACATTGTTAACTAAATCTACATGCATTTAATAAATTTTCACTAACAGTAAAATTAGATTTGAATAATCAATAGAAAAGGTAAATGAAATCCATTTTTTATTTCAACAAATCATGTAGTAAAATAACCAATAAGTAAAAGTAAAGCAATAATTAGATTTTACAAGCTTACCTTGTGGAATTAATCTATAGTACTCCCAACTTATAACTTTACCATCACACGGGAAGGCATTATTGATGAGAAAATGTGCACCACTGTCACCAGTTCGAGGCAACTTATCAGGTAGGCGACCAACATGATTTGGACAGCTGACAGCTAAAATAATCAGTAAACATACAGACTTACATTTCTCATATTTAAAAAATACAACTAATAATCAATAAGAAAACACTTTAGGACTTAGTAATATATTTTTAATTTGCTTATTCTCAATAGCCTAACGTCTTTGAAATTTGTATGAGGCATAACATCCTCTTAACCATTTAAAGATACATTGCTAGAATTCTTATTAAAGTTAAACAATCGGAACAATATAGGAACCATAATAATAGCTGTAAATGCAAACAACCAAAATAAAAACCATCACCAAAATAATAAATGAAATATACATACTATTACTAAGGAATAAATAGTTTTTGAACCTAGCTATTGCTGTGCTCCAAGAATATAGTGGCACAAGAATTTTATAATAATCTCAAGCAGGTTTGTAACAACCACTACCATTCTTACCTTCATCACTTCTTGGAGCAAAGAAAAAAAATGGAAAAATAACTAAATTTATTTTTCTGTGTAAATTACCAATTTGATTACTTTTAAAAATAACCTCCTATAACAGAAGGAAGCTAATCCTAGTCTAACCTTTAAAATACAAACTTGCAGTTGACATTGTCAACTCGCTACATTTATTTTCAATTATATTCTTAAAGATCTTAACAAAATCTTATTAGAAATGTTTTATTTATTTTTAAGGTTTTACTTCTTAACTTTAAAAATCACTGTGACATCTTTTGAAAGTCAGAACTGCATAAAAATTGAAACAGTTGTTTTATGCATTTTATGAAAGCAAAGTAAGATACTACAATTTATGTTTAGCCTTTTCTTATTTGTTAGCGAAATATAAATAAATGCTTGTGATACACATTTTTACACAGTGTGAAAATAATTAAATACAAGTTGCATACTAGCATAAACATACCTACTTTGGTACAGAACTATAATTTTTCAGCTATTAGTTTGATCATAAATATTTGTACTGAACATCAACTATAATTAACTAATAAAAATACATGTGTGACATTTTTTTAACAAGACAAAGTAAGTGAGAGGTTGATAGAGAAATCACACAATTTACATAACTTGTGGTAAGAGTAAGAACTCTCCCCACAACAAACACTACAATACAAGATAATAAGAAAAACTAAAAAGACATGCATACTACTCAAAGCAGTCTAAAAAGCAAACTATATTTTAAAAAAACAGCAAAGTTAAAATTGCCAAGCTTTTAAACTTGCTCCTTCACCATGTTGTGCAGAAATTTCTAACAATCAAATAATTTTTTGAGTTCTAAACTCACGGCACAATTTTTCATCATCTCCATCTGGACAGTCCTTATGTCCATCACACGCCCGCACACGGTCAATGCAACGTTTGTTTGCAGCGCAAAAGAATTGCCTTGTGTTGCAGGTATGTGGAATGCTAGCTTTGTTAGGGGAAATTAGTATGTTACTGGTTAGGCAGGTGTTACTGTGATGCAAATATTAAACAATCAATCAAAACCCTAGTTGCATTTTCATTCTACATTTTCAGCAATTTGTTGAAATTACTTTTAATCATGAAATTCTTTGTGTATGAAATGAAAGATGAACTAAATTTATCATGCAAATTAGATTTTTTTTTAATTAATTAAAATGAATAAAGAGTAAATTAATAATTTCTAACATAATATAAATTAAACTTATAAACATATAACATTGTAACTATTAAAATTGTAATAGGCATGAATTATGTAGTAAGGGTAACTAGATAAGAAACAATAAAGTAACCAAACAGCTTAACAAATCTTGAAACTTGATTTTTTTTAAGCCCACACATATAAAAACAATAGCAGAAGAGAAACAGAAAAAAATGTTAGGCATTAAAACACAAGTCAATCTTTCATCATCTCACCATGCTCAAGCAGTAAATCAAATCAGCACCAGCAAAATGAGTAGCTTAACATGAAGACAGAAGAAAAAAGAAAAGAAAACACGACATTCATTCACAACATTTAAGCCTGTCTATTTTTCTATTTGATAGTACATAAATACAACACGGCATTAACAACTCTTAAAACAAGATTGATATATTATTTCTAAGAACGATTGATGGATTATTTTCAAGTAGCAAAGTCACAACACTGAATTTATTTTTTGAGATAAACAAACTTCAATATTAGTATAAACTTTCTGTATTTTTGTTTATTGAAGACTGAGACATACATTGTTGAGGTCTAGACACTATTTCTTATACTTTATTGAAATTTTTTTTAAGTATCATTAATACTGTACATATACTTGTTCTAAAAATGACTCGTTCACTCTATATTATACTTCGGAACAAAGAATAAGGCCTTAGTTCCATGGTCCGCAGTTTACACATCTCCAAAAATATTATTTTGTAATTGCCTCAGAGAAAAAATTTGAAAAGTCTCATCATCCCTAATTTTACACCAGAAATATTTTTAAAAAGGTAAGCTATAGTTTTTTACACCTCATAATAAAACTATAACATAAATAAAACTTACAGGGAAGAGCTTCAAAAGAAAATCCTTCCTCTGTAACAGTGTTGGAACCAATTCTTCCTGACCGTAAAGCTTCTTCTAGGATTTGTCTAATCTCAGCTTCATCAACATCTCCTTGAGAACCCAAATCAAAAGTTACTTCTAGTGATCCTTTACTGAAAGCAACAAAAAAATTAAAGTATTAAAATTAAGATAAATAGCATTTGGATATTTTTTTTAGATTAACTTTATATACATAGGCCTATAATTACACATTAATGACTAAAAGTGATAGTTTTTGTTTTGTTGTCAATTCAGCATCATCATCTTTCCCCATATGTGCCCAAGACACAAAGGGCAGATAAAGTAGAGTTTGTCTGTTTCAGTAACTTCAAAATACAAAGGGATAGTGTGGTCAGCACTATGCCCAGTAGCCTTAATTTTCCCTAAAGTAAGTTAGGTACTCATCAGAGCTGGGTGGGCTCAGGGATGTTCTACTGATTTGAACCTGGATTCGAATTCATGACAATCGGGTGCGCAAGTCTAGCGATTTCACCTTGTCTTTTATAAATCATGGTTTTTGCATAGAATGGTCATATGTCTCATGGGCTAATAGAGACATTTAAGTTAATTGTAAAGCAAATTAAACTCCTTACTATTCAAGCTAAAACATCTCATCTAGGCAAACAAAAATATCTTTATCGTTTTAAATAAATTCTGAAGACAAAATATTGCAATTATGACATCAAAATTTATTTTTATCTATATTTTAATATTGTTAAACGTTTAGTATCTCTGGGTTAGAGCAGGGTTTTAAATTATAGATTTAAATAAGTTAAGTTAAACTTAAGTAGTAGGGCATACACAATGTCACATGTCACTATGAATTTTGTCCAAGTCAAAATCTGAAAACTAATTTTTGTTGCCTATGTCATATAAATTTGCTCATGCATACAGAGAATCTGTAATATTTATAGATCTAGAAATATATGTAGACAAACACAACATCAGCCTTAAACAAAAAAGTTTTTTTTTTGGACTCACCCAAACTTCAGCACAGTCGCAGAAAGACCTCCAACAATATTCCTAAACAAATATTCTATGTCAGATTCAATACTTTTAGATCTCTGTTGGAATAATCTATTATTTCTGTTCTGCAGTTCCGGAGTGAATTCCAGATTTGTAAATCTTATAGTAACTCTAAAGTAACCTGTAAAAATCAAAAGAAAATTGGCTTTTACAAAACGGCAATATAAAATTAAAATGAAACTAAGATGGTAGGTAGATCTAGATATATTTTGTGGAGGAATGGTAGTGGGGGGATGAAAATATTTGGAGACACTGATCTAGATACTATCCTCATCTGTACTTGCCTCTGTTAGGCAAGGGAACATAAACAAAACATATGATTAACATTAGATTGCCTAGTGTTATTGTTAAATTTTAAATAAGCCTAGATCAGTGATTCTTAACCTGGGTTCGGTGAGTCAGTGTATAGGCTCTATACCTGCTGTGACAAACATTCTTTTTACTTCTCTAGATCTATTAGATCTAGATCTAGATCTATATGTTGTGGCCCAATAGTGGACTTGTGAATGTCATGATTGTGATTGTAGGCTTAGGTAATGTGATTTCATTCTTAATATTTTAATCCCTTCATACTATGTTGAGTGAAAAATAGAAAGTGGTTACAGGAATGTTATAGATCTATAGGGGGGGGGGGTTGACTTGATATTTTCGGGGTTGGGGGGGGGGGGGGTGACTTCCCCCTGGAAGAGATGCCTGGAAGAAACTCTGGGGTGGACACAGTGATGTTCTACTGACTTGAACCCGGATTCGAACTCATAACATTCGGGCGCGCAGTCTAGCAAACTCTGCTACTGGACTAAACCTAGAGATCTATCTAGATCTAGATGTATTCTAGATCTAGATCTAGATGTAGTAGTAGAATTTGATTTATTATTATTCCAAGTCTAGCCTGTGTGGCTTGTTGACAAAAAAAAATAATTCACGAAGAAGGACTTTGATGGCGCGCAACAAACAGGAAGGCTGTCAAGTCTTGGTAGAGTCTAGATCTGGATCTATAAACTTTTTGCAGATCGTCTGCTAGACGCAGACTAGGCCTAAACTAGATCTAAATATAGATCTAGACCAGAGATCATCTGTTTTAGTTTTTAAAAATTCTAATTGCCGATTACCGCCCAAAAATTTAAAATACAACCTATATAGAATCTAGAAACGTTCATTATTAATTATTATAAATGATTCAATGAACGAAGAAACTAAGCCCTTATTTATTATATTTAAAATTATTCGGCTAAAAAGTTGTTTTTTTTGACGTTGTTTTTTTAAACGTTACCGTTACGTCATACGATTCCACCTTTATTTTAGAGGCTTGATGCACCCACTGGCATATTAACGAGCGAGACAAGATAAAATGACACGATAAACATCTTGGATAAAAATCCGAGAAGGGGAGTGAACAGCAAAAAAAGACAAGGTGAGCGAATGAGCGACTATGCATTTGTAAATAAGTTAAGAACTACACATCTCATCATATAGGCTAATTTACATTTGACTTCAAGGGGGGTATGTTATATCTATATGGGGGGCTGTAGAGTTTCTTCTGGGGGCTCGAAGAGATGTCTGGAAGAAACTCTGCACTTGGAACCAGCAAAGAGGTGGTTGGGGGGGGGGTCTTATTTTATTAAAACTACTCCAACGACAAGATGGGTTCCGAACCCGCAACCAGTTTCTTTCAGGCAACTCTTGGCGGGGGGGGGGGGGGGCGGAGACGAAGCACTGCCCACAACTGATGGGACTACCATATTCCCCCGTTACCGCGGACAGCGCTCGACTGTTATGTCAAAATAAAACCACTGACTACGGCTAGTTAAGGGTTAGGCCTGCTAACTCAGACTGACTTATTTAAATATCAGCAGTACCCCAGTAGTGTAACTGGCTCAAGTGACACCGGTCACCGCAATCCAGGGTGCCACCCCTTCAGCCTAAACTATATATCTGAGTTTCTTCCAGAAATCTCTTCGGGGGGGGGGGGATATGTACTTTTACCAGTGTCCACCCCCTCTTCCCCCCCCCCCCCCCCCGGAAAATATGAAGTGCCCCCCCTCCCCCAGAGAAAAAAAGTTTTAATGAAACACTGTATCTGATGTACTAAAATTATAGAAAATTCGGTGTCACCCCCACCCTGTGCCTTATGGTGTGTAGGCTTATAACTTCAATAAGCGATTAAAGTTAAACCAACTGGAAAAGCACAGTCTCATTAAACTTATCTATATTTCATTGTGGTGCCATCCTCTTGGATGGTATCACCCGGTGTAGTCCGCACACAATGCCCCCGCCGTGTGTCGCTACTGCCCTCCAACAAAGTTATTTGATCCAATCTACCAAACCATCGAAGACAAACCACCCAAAAGTAATTGCAGACAACCTACTAAACGACCCCCAAGTTGATCTCTAATTATTTTTTTTCCCTTTAAACTTTTACAACGGGTCTTTAAAAAAAGATGTACTGGTATAGATTACACGTAGGCTCAGACGAGGTATTTATTCTGGGCTAAACCGATGTAGCCACTCTTTGCTAATACAAGATACACACTCTAGGGCAAGACGAGGTATCCACCATTGACTACGACGAGTTACCCACTGTAGGCTAAGCCAAGGTACCCACTCTATGCTAAAATAAGGTTCTCACTAGGCTGAGTTAATGTCCCCACTCTAGACTCAGGCGTGTTACCCACTCTAGACTAAGGCGTGGTACCCTCTCTAGGCTAAGCCAAGGTACCCACTCTATGCTAAAATAAGGTTCTCACTAGGCTGAGTTAATGTACCCACTCTAGACTAAGACAAGGTACCCACTATGGGGTAAGCCAGGGTATTCACTCTATTCTAAGATAAGGTACCCACTAGGCTAAGTTACTTAAAAGTTAGTGTACCCACTCTAGACTAAGGCGTGGTACACACTCTGTGCTAAGCCAAGGTACTCACTCTAAGCTAAGACGATTAACGTGCACTCACGCACGAAGGTAGACAGCAAGGGAAAAAATCAGGACACGCGCCAAAGCAAAGTTTACATGTAGCTTATGCAATAAACCTGGCGCTATATCGGTCACCAAAATGGAGGGGGTTAACTCTGGTTCTAAGGATTCTTCGGTGAAGAAGGAGAAGTATGACTAATATGGCTAGAACAGCTAATACAACAATACATGTGAGCAGTGTTTCTTCCAGACTTTTTTCTACGGGAGGGGGCGGGCACTTGAAATTTTCGGGGGGGGGGGGGAAGAGCGGACACTATTAAAAGTGTGTTTATTATATAAAATCCATCTCGTTCGGGGGGGGGGGCGGGGGCGGTAGACTTTTTTTCGGGGGGACAGAGCCCCCCCCCCCCCCCCCCAAGAGATGCCTGGAAGAAACTCTGCATGTGATGAGGATCTAAATGTAACTGCTTTAATTAAGATAGCTAATTTTAAATTCCAGCGTATTGATTAGAAAAAAAGGGTGATAGAAAGCATCATTTTCATTAACTAGAAAAAGGGAGATAATTTACTAGATGCGCTTTCAATAACTACACACAATCCAGGAGTAGTCAGTAGTCACTCATGGACGATAACCAGTTTCTTCCTTTAAAAATGTATTTAGTTGACAATATCTGTTGCTTTTTGTTGGATTTTGTGTCAAATCTTGTAACTTAATTTTGACCTACTTTTAATTTCATTAACTAGGTTCCGAATTCATTCTTATTCCATCACAATGCAAGAATATATAATTTTTAATATAATTGACATTATATTAGTCATAAAAAATGTAATTAAAAGATTACAATATTAAATAATAAAAGGGGAGATGACAAGATTAAATACTATCGATTGTTCTATCAATTATCCTATCCGAAGACAGTGAACGGCTGGTTGGTTTATTGCCCGGCGTGGTGACAAAGAAGGGGAGATCAGAGTTTCTTCTAGGCAGAGCTTCCCCCCCCCCCTGTAGAAAGTCTACCCCCCCCCCCCCCACCAACGAAATGGAATTTATATATAAAACATATACTTTTACCAATGTCCGCCACCCCTCGGAAAATGTTGACCGCCCCCCCCCCCCCCCCCCGAAAATATCAAGTGCTTTCCCCAACCCTCCCGGAGAAAAAAGTCTGGAAGAAACACTGGGGAGGATACTTGTCTTTTAGAGATTGCAAGCTATTGACCGTGTCTCAGGGCTAATATTTTTAGTCGTGTGCGGTTTCAAATTCATTTGGAAAATAAAACAACTATAGAAAACCTTTATAATAGTAATAACCTTTAAAATGCACTGAAAATAAGATAAAACTAATTTGCTTTTTTAAATAAATCATAGCTTTCTCATGAATTCTTCTACATATTTTAGACCAAACTGTAGGGTTTTAAAGGTTAAAACATGCAAGAAACATTTTTTAACTGTGCATACTTTCAGTTCAGTAAACGAAATGTCTGACACCTCTTAAAAATAAAAAAAATAAAAACTCAGTTAAGCGAAAATCCAGCCGATAAAATAATGAAGAGAAACGGCAGCATGCAACGTTGCGCTCTAGATGATGTATAAGCAAACATTTTTCTAGCCTTACTTCTTCACATCCTCATCTTTTGGCGCTTGTAGTTATTTATTATTTTCATGAACTGGAGATAAAGCACCTCCATGTTTTGTACACACAAATGGCACTGTCTTGCAGCTTCGCCAGAAGCTGATGAATTTTCTTAATTAACTGTTGTTTTTTTTAAATTACCGTATTTTGTTTCTTTATAATAAATATGCTAGTTTAAAACAGAGGCGTAGCGACCCTTCCCAGCGCCCGGGGACAAACTTTTCGATTTGCACACCCCCCCCCCCCCTCAAACTTTCAATTTGCACCCCCCTCAACCTTTCAATTTATTTTTCCAACCCATTTTGGCGCCCCTTAAGCTCGGCGCCCGGGGACATTGTAGCCATTGGCGTCACTAGGTCGGGTGTCACCCGGTACGGTAAATCAGTGTGTCACTTCAACTTCTAAAAGCTATGAGCTGATAAGCTGAAATAATAGAATGGTGTAGGCTTGTATAACTGATTATTAACTTAATCGGACAAGTAAGTAATAATTTCATAATAAATTTGTTAATGGGTCGTTTTGGAATCACCCCCCCCCCCCCCCAGGGCACTGTGTCACCCGGTACTTGACCGCACTCC